AAACGAAGTTTCTCTACATAAAAGTAATATACAAACGATTCACCTCTTTTAAAAATATAAAATTCTCTTTATAAACAATATGAAAAATAATCAAGCAATCTTCAATTATAACTCGGAAAAGATAACTCAATTATGTATACAGTAAACTTTATGTATAATGTGATTGACATAATTTTCTTGACAATAAAACTTAACGTTTCGAGATTTCAGTTTATAATCCCAGAGAAACAAGATTAATATGTAGATATTATAGACGAGAATCGTAAAGCTGTTTTCCCGTCTACTTGTAGATAATCAACTTCCCTTATCTAATAATTTTGAGATCAAAATTGAATATTATCCTTCTAATCCTAAAATCCTTAATACTATCATATCGATTGCATGTACTACTATATCTTATATTATTATTATAATATTCAGAGTATCCAATAAAAAATTAAAAAAACAATTGCAGTAATATATTTAGTAGTAAAATAATTGGATGTAATTATTATTTCTAATAAAATATATATCTCTAACCTTAGTCTGCAACTGATGTATCATTTAGGACGATAAAAAATCTGCTGGAAACACTCGCGATTTAAAAAATTTCGAAACACTCCCGAATTTTAATTTAATTAAAAACTTAAAAAAAAAACAATACATTTCCTAAAAATTTAAGCGATCGCGATTTTAAAAATTTCGAACACTCCCGAAATTCAAACTAAAAAAAACTTTTTCTAAAGATATAAGCGATCGCGATTTTAAAAATTTCAAACACTCCCGAAATTTAAACTAAAAAATAAAAGACTTTTTTTGAATTTCGAACAAAAATTTTATTAAAATGATTAAAAAAAATACTTAAGACTTTTAAAATTTTTTGTTCGCGAATTAAAAGAATCGAGCACTCCCGAATCTATTTGCACGAAAATACTGAGAGAAAAAAAAACGATAAAGAAAGTATTTAGCACAAGCAAATTACAAAATTTACACGTCTAGACAGGTCACTACACGAATTGTAACTGATTGAATTTTATTATCTTTGGGATTTTCAATCAACATTGTTTACGACCTTCGACTTAAGGTGAGCTCTGTGTACTTTAATGTAAACAAATTGCTCGGGATGCAGGTATAGAGGCAATAAAATTCCAAAATTGCTTCAAAATACTTGGAAATTATAATTTTAAATTTAAATATTATTTCACTTATTGAATTACTTAATGTAAAATAAATATTTAATATTATTATATATTTATAATATTTTAGATCCAGAAGAAAAACTTTTCAAATATACAGATTTCTCGACAATGCAAAGATAAATTTTTCCATTAACGATATTATATACGAGTGGGTCAACTTTGAAACGATAATAATCGAAAATCAAGACCAAAAAAAAATATCCAAGATTCGCTTATGGAAACGATTTACAAAAGCGAAACCCCTTTCTTGTAACAGATAAGTCTCTAGCTTACAAGCTTAGTTGGGATAGTCCACATTTCGATGCACGAGAGGATAAACTTAATCCTAAGCGATGGCTCGATTCAAAATTCTTTTTGCTTTATTGAAGGGTTCAGAATTTCTAGGCCACAGTTTAAAAGATCTATTCCTATAACTTCTTTCGTATATATACACATTTTTTCTGTTTAGACGGAAATCCGTAAAAGCAGATTTTTCTCTAGATCAACAACTTTTCAAATCTGTTTCTTATAAACCTAAAGTAAGATATATCAAATGAAAAATTACTTTAAATAATAAATTCATTTTTCTTTGCGCAAAAAAGAAAGGTTACTTTGATGACATTTAATATAACTGTAAAAGTAATGGCACAGAAAATTCAAAAAGTACAGAAAGTGGAAAATTGAATCACACATAACAAAAGTGCTGTTCGATTTTTCCACTACATTTACTATCAAAAATGGATTTTCTAAATTCACAATTCTTTCTGAATAAGAAAAGAAATTGAACTATATAACTGAGGACAAAATAAAAAGATGACATAATTCAAAAAAAAAATATATATATTTCTGCATTCTATTAATCTTTAAGTTGAATTTTAATTATTAATTTTGATAAAATATTTAGAAAATATTGTTTTTCTAAGAATAGAAAATTTATTGAGATACAAATGTCATAATAAAAATCTGTTTAATATGAACGTCGGCGAGTAAACAAAGTGGCATAATTGATGACTGGTGTCTTCCACGTATTAGAGAATTTACAACGTGGAAAACGACTACTGTACCCATTAATCAAAGGCTTATCTACCTTGGAATAATCCCTCGTGTTTTCCATAGCTATGCAGAGTGCAAATTACACTTTTACTGTTTTATATCCTACAAAGAATTTTAACTATATCGTTAAAAGTTGAAAAAATATTCTCCAACTTTCATGCAAACTAAAATATTTCAACAATACTATTATTCATAAACGGCAATCAGAACACAATAAACTATAAGGTATTTAAAAAGCATTGCAGATTAAATTAATACCATAAAAGATTAAAATAACCCATTTTTTAGATCAAAAAATTTTTTTTCAATAATTAAAAAATTATTTAAAAAACCTTTCTTCGAATGTTTGAAATTTTTATCTTCAGATGAATTATTTTAATCTTCAATGGATTAAGGCGTTGCTTCTTATTTTAATCAATTTTGGTATTAGAATAATACCCCATAATTTACTGTAATTTGAATTCTTAATTGAGAATTTATCAAATTTTTTCTATAAAATATGCAAAATCATTAGATGTAGAGAAATTTTTGAAAAAAAACATAAGTATATTATATTTAAATCGTATAATGTAATTGGACGTTTAGTCAATATAGAAAATTGAAGAGAGATATTTTAAGTTTTTGATATTGATAAAAGAGATAATATCAAGGGTCGATGAGATAAAGTTCAACACCCGAATGTGTCGATATCTTGAAAGTTTAACAAGCAGATTTCAACGAAAATCCATTCCTCTGAATACGAGACGAAACTACCTCCCCTGAGACTTCAAACAACCGAGTAAAACATTTAGGACACATGCAAGTGTAAACCTGTATAAAAGTGAGGTCTACGTGCAACAAGTGCAGAAAGTAACTCTGACGTGCAATTTATATAATCGGTTCCTTTAAGAAAAGGAGAATGATTTGCAAGTGTCGTGACCTATTTTTTTCATAATTTCTCTAAAATTCACCTCTAAAAGTTTCACGTTTTTTTTTTTTTTTTTTTTTTTTAATAAAAAAAGATTTTAAAAGTAAAACTCTTAATAATAAAAATATTACAAATATTAAAAATTAATTAATGCATTTCTTTATGCAATTTAAGTAGTATTGTTTGCAGAAAAAAAGATATTTTTTAAATTCTTGTAATTTTATATTCGCAAACACAATATTTGACAAATAACTGTAGTATGTCAGTAGTAAAAGTAAATTAAAATCAGACATTAGTAAAAAAATTATTTGCAGTGTAAACATTTTAATTTCCTGAAATAATATCAGTAGTAAAAGACAATTTCAGTCAGACAAGACATTTTTAATTCTTGTAGCTTAGAAACAGTAGTACAACTCTGTTATTGTAAGACAAGTTCCGAATTCTTACGTTTGTATACCATCAGTAGTGAAAGCATATTTCAGTCAGACAAAACGTTTTAAATTCTTTTAATTTTGTTTAAATAATAAAAAATAGTTTCAGTTCAAATGAAAAAGTTTTAAATTTTCCTAATTTTAGTTTCAGTAGTAAAATATAATTTCATTCAAACATTTTCCTATTTTATTTCCCAAAGTCCACTCTCCTCTTGAATAAGAAATCTTAAGCAAATACATTTGTTAAACATTTACATTATACTTGAACTAAATTTGAAATTAAAGATTTAAGTAATAAAATTTTCATATTTCTAACCATAAATTCTGACTTCTTAAATATTATTTATTTACAATGTGTAAATATTATTTTTGATAAAAAAAAAATAAATTTTCAACATCCATCAAATTCAAGGAAGATTCTAATTAATTATAAAATAATTACGAGACAAATCGTTTAATATTGTAACAATTCAGACAGCATGTTTGAACTGAAGTAAAAGTAAAAAATTGTATAAGAAAACCAGAAATAAAAAGTAGAGACACAGATTTATATATCTTTCTGTCTACAAGAGACAATGAATGTCTACTCATGTTCCAGCGAATGAGAAAAATTAATAAGTTAGTCGACTATGAACCACAAATTCATTCGCTTATCAAACCCCATTTCGCCGCAATGCTTATATTCATTCTTTCTCTCTCTCTCTCCCTCTTTCTGTTCTTGCGCTTTGCCTCTCTACGGGATTTTTAAATGAGAATTTTAACGATCGACCTACATTTCACTGTTCCATTTACGGTGGGTATCGCAAACAATGTCAAATAGCACGTTAAAAATGCTAACTATCGATATTCAACTTTCGGAAAAGTGAAGAAAAAGAAAGAGCGAGAGATAGGGGGACATTGATTCCCTATTGTCAAACAGAGGGAAGTTAAATTATCTTCCGCAAGACTTCGACTCAAAACATTCAGAAAAAAAAAGTAATTAGCAATTACTAAATTACAAGATTTTAACCCCAGTTAACAAATAATTAAAATTTTTAATAGAACTAATAATTATTTGTCAATAAAATATTTTATTAACATTTTTTGTAAAATTATTAAATAATAGAAACCAGCTTTCTAGTTAAGCTTTCTTTATAAATCGAATTGTCAAATATTTGATCGATCATTTAAAAATGCGACATCGTCGGCAATTTTCATTGTAATAAAAAAAAAAATTGTCCGTATTTCAATGAAACTTGCTGTCGGAACAATTTTATGATGTTTCGTTTAACAGCTAAAAGTGCAAGAGAGACTATTTTATTTGACAAAGTTTCAAAGCGACCAGAAAAGCTGTAAGTTGACGCAAATTGATATAACAAGATTTCGAAAATTTCCCACCGATGAAAATGCTTTGAACTAGAAAAATTCTTTACAAAAAAAAAAAGAGATAAAAAAAGAAAACATTTGACATACCTTGAGATGCGGCTGGACGAGAAGTTCCTGGAGTTCACGAAGATCACCTCGGTCGATATTTCTAGCATTTGACCTGTCGACGTCTCGAAGAACTTCCTCAACTTCTCGGGCTCGTTGAACTGCGTCTGTCTGTGGAGCTCGACATGGCGTTGGAGATCGTGATGAAATTCTGTCATAAAGCTGCAAAAACAAAATTTTTCAACAAATATTACATAAAAAAAAAAAAATAAATAAAAATAAGTGGCAAAAATATTACAATGATAAAATGTTTCAATTCATTTTCCTTTCAGTTACATTCTTAATGCATAAAAAAATTCCCCAACCCTTTGTGAAAATTTGTCTAGAATTTAGGTCGAATTTCTTGTAAATTTTACATAACACCTATAAGTTAGAATAGTAACTCTTTTATTTCTTCTTCCTGGGCTTTTTTGAATTTCAAATAATTTTGCGACACTAGCTCTTTTCTGCATAAAATTATCTTTAAACTCGGTCAATTTTATTCAGAAAAATAAAATACTGCATTACTATATTTTACATTTATTTATCTTTCTTTCTATACCAGAAATTAAGCATCAAATTTTTTTTCCATCATCATCATCATTATTCATCCAAAATTCATGAAAAAAATAAATCAGGTAATTTAACAACCACTATTTTGACAACAAAGGCTAAAAAAAATTCAAAGTTTCAAAAAGAAGAGAAGACTACTAGCGCCATGAACTATTTCTTCAAACAATATAAATTCAAATCAAACCAAAATTGATCAGTAACAATGAAAGTAACAGATAATGAAAAATTCTACAGTACAGTTATACTAAACTGGAGAGTACACTTAAACTCACCAAAAGATCTGCAATTTCGAACAAGTCCGCAGCAAGTTCGGACTCGCCATAAAGCAACAGTTGACAAATTCGCATATCTATTTACCGGTGATAAGGGATTGAATCATCCCCTCGTGTTTTTGCCGGCATTGATTTCAATAATGTTGTCGTGAAAAATATAAAGAGAATTGTAAATGCCAAAAAGAAGAAGAAAAATACCAAAATGAAGAGATAAACGGGTACTCGTGTTTTTGCGTAAACGCGAGGCCGCGATCCCGTCAAGGTACGTGACATTGTTTACGAGCTTTATGCGTGTTAGGAAGCCATCTTGATGAGATAGGTGATGACGCATGCGATCTTGAATTTTGCAAAAACTTCAAAGATTCCTCTCTCGCACACAGCCAGAATGTATATCTTCTTCTACCTCCAGGAAAATTGAATGTGGCTCCCCTGGTGTAAAAGTTCACAACTATCTCAAATAAGGGATGAAATAAGAAAAATGTAATGTGCAACTAACCGCACCGCGGTTTGATCCCGACTGCTATCTAACTTATCAGAACATTTTCAACAGCTACTCTATTGCCTATAGTAGGTATACCGACCAAGGGAATGCGCAAAATCCGCTTTAAAACTATCCCTAACAAAATTCAGTCAAAGGGGGTGAAACTCTCGGTCACTCTGCTTTACCGATAGAAAAGAGCAAATTTTCCTTCTGAATACATTGAAAAATTTAATTTCTACTTAATTAAATTTTCTAATTTTCGAATTTTACTCTTCTATTTTTTCTTTTTGTAAATAAATTGTGACAGAAACAATTTTTCGTACTTCAGGATGTCAACTAAACAAATTCTCAGTTCTCTACCATTCTTTACTTTGAAAAAAAAAAAAAATTCAATTACAAGAAAATTACTAGTAATTGTTTTGTTAAACAAAAATTCATTATTCTCAAATATTTTCTCATTTAGTTTTGTAATTATTCAATTAAGAGAAAATTTAATCACTTTAATTGTAGCTACAAAAATAATTAAGGCAAATATTTACATATTAATGTAACTGAAAGTGTAGGAACTTAAAAGGAATACCTCAAATAAATTTGCAGAATTTGGATAATTTAAATTTAACGTAAATGATTTCTTGCTTCAAGCAAAAATCCAGAGATATTTAAATGAATAAGAATTGTTGAAATTCCTGGGTATTCCATTATAAATTCATATTAATGAATTTTTAATAATATAATTAGAATACATAAATAATATAGAAATAATCATACCTCTAATATCGCGCGAAGTTGATAATCATCAACAGTGGAAAGAATTTCAGAGCGTGTCAGTCTACCACTCTCCTGAAGTATCTCTATGTCATCAAGTGAATCTAAAATTTCAGCAACAGGACCTAAAAATCGAATATTAAATTTTAAAAATAGTTTATAGAAATCTTTTTTATTATTTTAATCAAACTGAATAGATCAAATAGCAATTTTCCAAAAAAAATTCCTTCTACTTTTATTTTTAAGACCTTTCTCAAATTTGATTAAATGTACTATTAAATTTAGAATAGAAAGAAAGAAAATTTTGAAAATAAACACAAAAATAATAAATATAATAATTACATTAACTGAATTAATTCATAATAATGTCAGTATCGTAAAATCAAACTACATGTAGAGAAAAAGCAGGAGGAAAAAAAATGAGGCTATGCAAACTACTTAATCGCTGTAGCTGAATAATTGAATTACAATAAATTTCTTTCAGGAATCCCAAAGCTTCTTTTATCAATTAAAATTTATCTTTACTCAAAAAAAATATTGTTTTGATAATAAAAAGCAACATTTAATATAAAATTTAAAAAATTAATAATTTAAATTTCACGTGAATCTTTAAGAAATACACACCTGTTGTCATGACTTCTTCATCACCAATTTCAAAATAACTATCACCGTTTGTTTCCGAATATGGTGCATGCCACCTTGCCGAGGAAACAGATGCTTTCACAGCAGTTTTCAATTTTCGCCTAGCATTAAACTTCTTAAGTTCTTCTATAGTTTCAGCTAAATGTATTCGTACAGCACCCTTATCACGATCCTAGAAAGAGAAAAATCATCAGTCACTACTAAAATAATTAAAAAAGAGAATTTTTTTATTTAAACAAAAATCTTTCCTCATTTTTCGAAATTGTTCAGAGTAATAAATTTTATCTTAATTTGCAATTCATAATCTGACTATTTATAAAATTTATGAAAAACGACAAAAATTAAAATTTTTTTTCTCCCCCATACTGAAGGATGGTGTCGATATGAAAAATGTTAATATCACTAAAAGAAAATGGTCTAAAACAGATGAATCGTGAAAGATAGGCATATATCTAGCTTATTTTCATTAAGTGAGCGAGCTTTGCCCCCACAAATCGATAACCCACTTGCACGTGTATTACATCGATAGTCAGAGCCCTCGTGCGCCCCTTCCTTACTTCACTTGCTAACTGCTCAACCACATGCCATAGAGAAACACATATACGTAATGCACATCGTCATACGCATCGACACCTTTTACTGACATCAGACCACGAGTGACAGCATCGTCACCCGCACCGACTATATTTAAAAGTAGCTACTTTTATTATTATAGTTACAATATATAAACTGATACACTGCTAGGAGATGCCTAGCCTGTGTGCGATCACCGACTTTCAAGAGTAACGATTTTCCAAGAACCAACTTAACTACTCACTCTCAGCCACTTGTGATTGAGAACTTCTTGAATAGTAATTCTGTGATTTACATCCGTCGTAAGCATCCTTTGAATAAGATCTTTTGCTGTCTCACTAATAGTGTCCCATAAATGTGTCTCCATCTGTCAAAAAAAAAAGAAGAGCGTAATTAATCATTTTCACAATTAAAAAAATACATGAAAAGGAAATTCAATTGAAAAAACAAATTATAAATTAAAAAAAAAAACTAAAAATGAACAAAATAAATTTTTGCTTTTAAAAATTATTATTTTATAGACGATTTAATTATTTTATAAAATGAGAAAAGGAAACCTTAAATTGACATTTAAATATGTAAATGTATAATAATTTAATAAGTACATATAGAAATAAAAAAAATCTCAGCCTTTTTTACCTGGACTCGTCCTCTGCAAATCGCTTCCCGTAGACGGTCCCGAGAGCCAACAAATGGAAGGGTTCCAGTAAGTAATATGTGAAGCAGTACACCTGCCGACCAAACATCTCCAGCTTTTCCATATTGCCTACGTTGAATTACTTCCGGTGCCATGAAATGCGGACATCCAATTCGTCCTGCATAATCAAATATCAAAAATTTTAATAAAAATAAATCCACTTATCTATTTCGTAAAGCATCCTTTATTCCGAAACATTCAATCAATTACCCGAAATATAATTTTCTAAAAAATTAATTACACAAAATCAATGTTATGAACAATCCATTTTTTATTTAATACCAATTAATTAATTATTATATTAATAATTAAATCATTTAATAAATTATCAAAATAAATTATTACAAATCAAGTGAATTTTAAATGAAAATTCTTATGGAAAAATTTGCTCCTAATCGATCAAATCATCAAAATAAAGGATAATTGCGAAAATTTCAATGTTGCTATTATTATTATTTTTCAAAAAAAAGCATTAAATTACACATGAGAGAAATAAATATTCCTGATGTATAAATAGAACAGGTTTTATCAATACTTTTTCTATATAATTTTTATTTATTTGAATAATTTTCAATAATACGAAATGAAAGTGAAGGAAAACATTTTCCCAAATAAATAAATTATAAAACACAAATATGAATTTCATGAACTTGAAAATGTCATTACTTCAGTATTTCTCTCTAAGTGTGTTTAGGAAATTGAGCCTCATGACAAGATTCACTTTGATAGGATGCAAATTGTCAGCATCAGCGTGTACCTTTCATGAACAGTAACCAACATGCTTTGCATTATATTCTACACATTGAAACTAATTGCAAAAAAGTTAACATCATGAGTCGAAAGCGATAGCAATGAAACCTACAATTACTTTTTAAAAATACCAAATAAACTTTATTATAAAAAAATATAATAAAACAAAATAAATCCCTAAATGTCGTAAAATATTATGTAAAATATGTTTTTTTAAATTCGTTTGACTCAGTGGCTTTGTAAATTAAAAATTAATTAAATTAGGTCAAACAAATTTTAAAAACATCTAAAAAAAAGTAAAATAAAAAATTAAATAATGAAAAATATATTAAAACGAAAAGTAAACACTTTTCATTTATTAGTTTATATTTAAAAGATGACATGAAAAAAAATCAATAAAAAGAAAATTAATATTTAAAAATTAAATAAAATTATTGACATTCTTTAAATAAAAATAAATCATAATAATAATCTGTCACAATTTATAACACTTATTAATCAATATTAACATGCAGAAAGAAAGAAAAAGACGTAAAATACAAAATTGTAACAAACTTAACGAGCACAAGTGATACTTAACGCTTTGATGAATTTTTATGAAAGCAAAAGTTATTTTTTTTTTTTAAATTAATTTTCATTTTAATACCATCGTGAGAACAATCATATTTTCTCAAGGCATATTTAAAGTAGGAAGTTCTCTGACCTCTTCCTGATATTTTCCTGACATTATCACAATCCTTTGACATTATCACGACTATTATAAAAACAAGGTAAGAAATTTATTTTTTTATTCTAATTTGTCCTCTCATAGGAAAAAGTGAATTCTTTTCAAGAATATAGAATAAAAAATTTCATTCAAAGAAATTATTTTTTAATTTCATTTATCTCTCTTTTAATCATCAATGAAATTTACAAATCACTGCAAATTCTTTAAGATTATTATAATCGTATTTTAGTTTAATGATAAAATTTATCAAATAAAAAAATCAGTTTTTTTGTTAATTTTAAAATAGAATAAAAAATTTTTTCTGACTTCTTATAAAAAGAAAATTACCGATTTTGTAAATAAACGATGAGCTTTGTAAAAAAGACTACAAATTTGAAAAAAAAACAGTATAATGATATACGAGGGAAATAATAAAAACAGGCAGAGAGACACACAAGCACAGGATGGTCTACCACTACGAACAATGACGGACACAGACAAGTTGAAATGGAGTGCAAGACTCGCTACTTTGACGATACTTTATACATTGGTTCAACGTTACTTTTTTTTCCCTACGAATGAAATAAAGCTCGGAGAATGATTCTCCTTTCAACAGATAAATCTCGCGCCATAAAATTATCACGAGACAACGACACTTTTATATAAAAATTCGCGCAGAACCACTGCGAGATGATTTCACAGGAATGCTACGCAAATTAAATTATGTAGAAACTCCATAGTCTCAAGCTGACATAATCGACTGATACGAGGGTACAAGGATTTCATAAGAATTCCAAAAAAAAAAAAAAAAAAATTCAATTCCACGATATTATCAAATAAATTTTAAGTTTCAATTTTAAACTTAATGAAAAAATTCAATCTTAATAAAGAATTAGAAAATTAAAACAAAAATTATTAATATCGCAAACAGAAAATACACAAAATAATATAATTATATAAAAAAGATATATTTTGAAAAGAAACAATTTTTATATAAAAAAATAAGGATTCTATATTTCAAAAAGTGTTATAAAATTGTTCACGTAAGAGAGAAAGTGCATTAACGTATTTTATTCTCAGGACAATTATTAAAAAAAAAAAAAAAATGTGACGTAAAAATAAATGTGAACGAAGAGTGAAGAATACTTTTAAAGAATCGTGGAAATGAAATTCTTATAAAACACGTTTACCGCAACGTGAAATCTTACAATTGATGTTGAAGAAGATTATTTTTTAAAAAAAGGAAAAAATGAAATGCCTTCTACCCCCGTTTTTTAACAGTCGCATGGAGATAGGTAGAAGTAGAATACCAATGTTGTCCTCCGTGTCGCTCACAAGCGAATCCTCGGCGTCCGTGAGGTCCTCGAAAGGGAAATTGCAGTTGGATGTTGTCAGCCCTAGCAAAAGAATACATTTAGAAAGAAAAAGTGTCATTTGTTTCTGCGTCTGCGTCTACCATGGTCGATGAAACAATTTCATCGTGCTCGTAATAGGAGACAGACCTGTACTCGCATATCTTTTATTAATTCTAAATTCCTCCTGATTTTTTCTCTCAAATACACACATTCTTAAATACTGACACTCATATATATTAAATTTGATTTTAGAAAATCATATCCCTTAAATTTTACTATTTTACAAAATTTTAGGGAACGAGTGCGAATATTTTCTGAGTTTTGTAATTCATTTTTTTAAAACCAAATTTTTCTACTGAATATTTATTTATTAATTTGAAAGGAGTTTTATAAAAAGGAATTGACTGAACTTTTTTTTTTTACTGAAAACGTGTTTTTAAAAGCTCAAAAAGCATTTGCGATAATAAAAAAAAAAAAATGTAAAAAAAAACTTATTAAATTTTTGCAATATGTAATGAAAGGAAAGGTATCTTTATATAGAGATTTTCAACTTATTGAGATTCTACTGCATAAATGAGTGAAGGTATATAAAATCCTAGCTTAATTAGAGCAAAGTTTAATAAATTTTTAAAAGCAAACTAATTGGACCATGATATATACCTATAGTAAACTCATTTCCTGCGTTTGATGGCTAAGCCTAAAACTTGCAACTATAGATAGTATATAGTGTAATCAACATGCATGGAATTTCTTCGCGAACTGAATAGTCGAGTTCACTTAGCAACATGTCTGGTACATAATACATCGGCCTTTCTAGTCGACTCATAAACCTGCTTTTCGCCCACCCAAGTCTATTTCGATTCACCACGTGTAAGCTCATGAACCAGTCAAGAATCGAATACTGAATGACTGCAACTCTCTCAAGAATCACATCTAAAGTTCTTTACTTTTCCACGCGCGGTAAAATATTTAAAAAATTTCTTTTTCTCAACCATTTTATAGAGTAACACTTTAAGGGGAGAAATATTAAAACTACTATTACATTTAAAAACACCTAAATATTGGAAAATATATTTTTTTTTTCGTAAAAGACAATAAAATATCCATTAAGATGTATGTGAACAAAATCTTATAGATTAAAAAAAAAACACATAGGATTTAAGAAAAGGATATTTGTGAAAGGAATCAGAGAGTGCCTAAGTATATATATATATAAACAATGAAGTACTCTGTAAAGAGAGCAAACGAATTCTAAGTTGTATTGATTTCAATAATATTTAAGTGGTGACATCAATGACATCAAGAGAGAAAGTGAAAGGAATTGATTTATAAAAAGATTGCGACAATACGTCTAGACGGAGGAATTATACATTGTGTCAGTGATCCACTTGAGATAATTTCTTCGTCCAAGAAAAACTTCTTCAATCAAAAGATGAACTTATTCTCAACATATTCTCGCAATAATTTTTTTTTCTAACATCTTTTTTTCTTTAAATTCTAATAGGGGACAATTAAGAAGATTAAGATAGATTAATCCGTCAAATGAGATTTTTAATATAATATTTTTGTGGCAAAAAAAGCAAGCAAGCAAGCAGTGGCAGCTTCTCTATTAAATAACAATAATAAATTATTATTATAGTTAAATAATAATTAAAATCGAGCTATTTAAGAAGAGGGCATGTTTATATATATTTGTTATAATCGCAGCATTGTTTGTGAGATAATAAGCAAATAGTGGCTTTGGTGTAAGTGTAAAAAAAGGGTCCTGCGGAAGTGGTGATTAAAGGTTAGGTCAGGCTTACCATCATTGTCGGCCTTCAAGTAGAGCTGACCCTTTGGGCTCAGACACTGACGATACTCGGTCGTGTAACATTCTGTATTCATTTAAACCACACTTTATTTTATGAGCAAAATAAAAAGGCAAAAGTTTTCTCAATGTTATAAAACCCAATAATCAAATAAAATCAAAGGGGAAATTATTTTAATTTATCCAAATTAACATTGTACAGAGGTGACAATTTTTTTTTTTCTATCATTATTCAGAATCTAAAATTATTTTATTCATAATGAAAAAAAAAAATTGAAAAAAAAAATTCCTGAAATTTAAAATAGAAAATGTAATTTTTCATAACAATTTTTTAAAATTGAAGTGACACTTTTGAATTACGTTGAAGATACATAAATTTCAAAATAAAATATACAGGAATAGTTTCTCATAGAAAGAAGAACTTAAAAGTCATTTTTTAGTTTATAGCCTCTTGAAATGACAAGAAAAATCCTCTTTGTATAGAAGAACATACTCCTTCTTTAGAGAAAATATAAAAATAATTTAGAAGCGAAATATTCTGTTCAAATCGGGATTATATTTTTTGGAGTCGAAAAAATATTATATATATAAAAGTTTTACATAAAGCGAAATTTAGAAAAGGTGTTAAAAAAAATAAAGAAAATAATTCTTAATTTTTAACAAATTTTCTCGAAAAAAAATTCAATTAAATTTTTAAAAAAAGTTTTGGATAATATAGGACGATTTTATATTCAAAATAGTATTAGAAAAATATTACAACCTCAGATCGACATTAATATGGATGAATTAAAATTTATTAAAGCACTGTATTAAAATAATTCTAAAAAAAAATTTTTGTTTCAAAAAAGGTAAAAACGGTATTCTCATCTTTATATTAGTCTTTCTACTATCATTGAAACGATATCTTTTACAGTTTCATTTTCAATAATTTAAAACCTACTTTACAGTCTACTTTCAGAAAGTGTCACTGAAATATTGACCCTGATAAGTTAAAATATAATGTCACAAAATTGAACAAAAGTTCTTTAAGAACTTCATAAATTTCCCGTTCGGTAATTGCAAAATTAGTTTAAAACTCTTAGTCTAGCGCGTCTTGTTGAAAAGTATGGCAAGTTGAGCAATGTCAAAACTTTATAAGAGGTCGTCAATAATGTTTAGTATAGTATATAGACGAAGAAGCAAAGTTTTTGAGATAAAACTTTTTCAATAAAAAAATTTTTTTTTTTTTGTGTTATTCAATGAACTAATTGAAATTTTGAAAATATCCAAGTTAATTTATTACAAAAGCATTTAGTCAACTAAATGTGAGAAATTCATTTATGTATTCAAAAATTTAATCAACAAAAATGAAATATTATGAAATACACACAAATTCTGATCAAGAGCATCGAGATAAACCTCATTTGTTTCAATTCAATCGCGAGACAAAAATGATAACCAAATGTTATTTGAATTGTGGGAATAGTCCAATGACTAATAATTCGAAAATTATGCCATTTATTCCACATGAAGGGTGTTATTGTTATTGCGCCCTTCACACAGAGAGGTATTCAGTTGAATTATCGATTAGTCTTTTATTCGTAGACACACTGAAACGTAAACACTTCCTTTCAAGTGCGTATTAAAATTGCTTGATGAACGGGGTAGTGGTATATAGTTTATACGAGATACATGATTACGTGTTTGAGTAACTGGCAACAAAACCCATCCTATTGTAAAAAAAACTTGGACTGAGACAAAAAAACTTCTTACTTTTCCATTACTTACAAAGCCATAAAAACTTAGGGCAAAAATAAAAAGAAACCTTTAATAATCTTTTAATGGATAATTAAATTCTCTCATTTAAGCCTCTTCTTTAATCAAAGAAATAGTTAATAAAAAAACAAATGAATCCCCTTAAGATTTGTAAAATAATTAATTTAAAATAATTTGTCAAAAAGTCGTGTTAATTTGAGCGTCTAGAATTACTTTTCAAGGAGTATAATTCTACTTAATCTAATTAATAACGGAAAGATGCGTGTGTGCAAATTGCTCATTGTCATTTCTGAAATTTCAATAATTCTACTGTGCTTCGAAACTTCAAAATTCACTACTGTCTTTATAATAATATAAACCTATTATAAATTATGATAATTATATTATTTAATAATAATAATTACTTCCAATGAGAAAGCAATTACTATTACATTCAAAATTATAAGAATTTATAATCATTTTTATGAGAATATTGTTTTCATGTTTTGTAAGCTTGTGTTTTGTCCAAAAAATATTGTTCGTGATGTATGAAACAATAAATACAGAGTTTATATAAGTGTAAAGAAAATTCATTCAAAAATTTTAAAAATAAACTATCATGTTAATAATGTTTTCTAATTACAGCTACTTGAAATAATGATGTGTCAAGTCATCAGCACTTATGTAATTTGAGGGAAATAATAAAAAACGGACGACGAACTTGTCATCGAGAAGGATTAAAAATGTGTGTGTGTATATGAATCGCGTAGTTGAGAATGAATTTTTCAACTGAAGAGAACCGATAAAAGCCGTTGCATTCTGCACATTGAACACACAAAATTTAGAATGCGAATGCCAATAACTGACGAAGCGAACCAGACTCATAGTAATAGCAATAGTATAGTATTAGTAGTATAGTAAATAGTAGATCACAGAAAGAGCAATCAACAAGTAGAAAAATGAATGCTCACTCTGTTTATAAAAATATTTCATTATTTATTTAAACAAAAAATATTTTTCTATTCCCAATATTTGAAAATCAATTCATATTTTAGAAATCATCTCTACTCTTCTGTATCGAAAAAATTTTTATTTCCAAAACCCAGAAATTAGTTCACGAATTATTAAAATTAACTCACTAATTAATAAACTTAAAATCAACATTATTAACTTATTAAAATTATTGACTTATCAATGTAAATATCTGTTAGAAACTATTGAAACTAATATCTACAAGAAAATTAAATCATGAATTTAAAGGGGCAACACTTTGAAAGTTATTTTAAATGAATAGATTTCAATAAAGTAACTTTTATAAATAAACTCGTTTAAAAAAAAAAAAAAAAAAAAAAAAGTTAAATGCAATTGTTTACGTAAAATTACTTCTGAAAACTTCTTTTAAAAGAATAGTTAATTAATATCAACAATTGCTAAGTGATACTCTTAACAAATAAAAAAGAAAGAGAAAGATGTCCATTCATAGTGGATATCACTTTTAAAATTGCTCGTTAAGAAACTTTAATCACTTTTGTAGACCATTTTCAAAAGTAATTATCACGATGCAGATGTTTTCCCAGTGACAAACTAAGATTCATTTTCTAGGGTAGTTGCGACATTAATAAGTTGCTTCGACCAATGTTACAGTGCCTCTGGCAGTAATTTTATCATCCTCAAAGCCAAACCCGGAGTAGTCGCGCACTAGCAAAGGATTTCAAGAACAAAAGCTTCTTTCATTGCTTTAACGAACCAGAATATTATTTGAATTCATTTTTCAAGCTGATGTCTTAATGACTTATTTTAAATGCTAAACCAAAAAAGAAATATTTTTACTGCATATATGAATGTATATTGAAAAGGGTTTTGCATTCGCGACAAAATGTATTATTTCTCAGTAAAGCATATATTTCAAAAATGTTTTAAAACATTTGAAAAAAAAAAATTATTTGAAAACCATTTAAAGCAGTTCTATATAGCGTTAAAATGAAAACCATAGTGATAAATAAAATTACAATTTCCTTTCAACATTTTTCTTTAAAGAGATCTACTTTTCATTCAAGTGTATTAGAGATTTAATAATAGTCATGAATAATCCAGACAGAAAATAAGTGAATTTACTGAAAATTTATGAGCCTATAACTTTAATCTTTACACGCACAGAAGATCATACGAAGATAAAAGTGTTGCCGCTTTCTAATAAAAGGGAAAATTCCAATTTCACAATCACGATGATGAAAAGGAAAATCTTTTTTTAACTCAATTTAAAAACATGGGATGTTATACACTTTGAAAAAAGGCAATGTTTTTGGCTCTCGCGCAGTGTTGTAAATTTCTCCTCTCGGAATTCATTAAATGCACATTCAGCTAGTGGAAAATTCTCTTGGTATAGCCAGAAGCTGGTCTATATTTTTTTTCTTTCTTTTTCTTTTTTTTTTTTTGAAGTTTTGCCAACTGACCGATCGAAGGAACATAAAATTTGGATAGCATGGTCTTGTGTGTATGTGCGAGTGCCTTTTCTCTCGTTTCTTAGCTTTCAATTCCCAGTCTCGAAGATTTACTAACCCAAACGGGATAAGGATTATACGCGAGAGATTGTATACAGAAGTTCGAAAACTATAGGGGATAATATTTTACAATTCCGTGTCTCTAGCAGCTCTCGGAAACTCTTGGGAGAATAGTGGGTTTTGGACTAGTCATAGGGCGTACACGTTGCTCTCTGAGGAGCAAAAAAAAAAAAAAGAAAAAAAAAGAGCACATCACCGAGAATAGTGGTTATAGATAGCATAGCAATGGTTAAGAGAAAAACTAGAAAAAGCTTACATACCAACGCCATTGGTTTGCGAGGACGGAAGTTGTACCGCGACACCAAAACCGCGCAACTTCACTGGAGCAGAATTTTCTTTTCCGGCAAGAAGGGCGCACTGTGGTTTCAGGTCTCGATGGATTATATCATTCTCGTGACAATAACGTAGGGCTTCCAGGATCTGTCTCATGTAGTGGCTGAAATTGAAGCACAAGCTTTTAGGATTCTTTATCAACGTTTACCTCTTATCATCGCAGGATAAAACTTTTTCAAATATCATTTCATTTCTTTTTCACATATATACATTTACACACACACACACTCTCTTTGCTTTCATTTTTTTTTCTAAACACAAACCTCGTCGACTTTTATTCCCGAGGTAGATTTATCTCCTTCAAATCAAATCGCTCTTTCTATCCATCTTATACTAGGGAAATGGAAACGTCTTATACGATATTATATATCGAATAAGACTTTCAAAATACGATTTCACTGGATTTATGTGATTGATTGAAACTTATTGACTAGTAATGGTATATGTTAACTTATTTTTTCGTTATTTCAGAGTGTCTAACATCTTCAAGAAAAAAAAAAATTCTCTGACATGCATTTCCCTGATAACATAATACGAGTGAATTGTCAGACACTCTAAAAATTTTTTTAATAAAATGCAATAAATATTTTTAAAATAATATAAAATTTTTGTTTCTCACCTGGCAACGGCTTCGCTGTATACAAATCCGGCTGTTGCTCGCCTGACCACCTCGAAACACAAATCTGAACCATCCATACTGAAAATTCAAAATACTTATTAATTAAATCAAATTTTTTACTTGAAAATTTGTTTATAATAATTTTTATTTTCAAGTAATAAACAAACAAATAATTGAATATTTAACTATATTTTTCCAGCTATATTAATTCATAAAAAGCTCTTAATTATTTCAAAAAATCCTAGTTTCTTCGAAATACAAAAGAATATAAATTTTACTTATTTTAATCTACTTTATTTAAAATTTTCAAGAGTGAATTGTTATTTACTGTTTTTTTTTTCTTTTTATATTTTTCTCACTTTTTCTACTTTGCATAACTATTAGACGTAAGCTTCGTACGAGGTCAATATCGTTCAAACAAGAAAGGCCAACGAACTATAGTTATCCTCGCGAATGAATGCTGGTAGTGAGCATGAAGGATCGTTAGCACAAGAGCAAGGTAGACGCGAATGAGCTTTTTTCTACACGAGAAAAGAAACATTCTCCGAGGGGCCACATACCTATTTCTCGGTTTTCTTTCATTCTTACGTTCATTCGTTTCCATCACTTTTTTTTTATATCTTGTGTTTCATTGTTTTCCATTGCATTTGATTTTTTGTAAAAGTTATCAAGCAAAAAATCGTTTATATAGTTTTTTAAAATTATTATTTTTCAACTCGTTTCGAAAATATTTTATAATTTATAAATAACCACCTAATAGTTATTTAATAATTAATTGGTAACTGATATTTGAGAATTGTCAGATATTTTCCATACTGTATTAATTTTCCCCTAATGAGGTAAATATATATCTGGCGCTTCTAAAAGTGAAGCATGAATGTAAATAATTGGAACAGAATACAAAAATCTCAAGAATTATACAGCGTCACTAATGAAGAAATTGGGTTATACAAACAAAACTTCAACGTTAGCTAAGGTTTATATAAAGCTAATTTACACCAAGGTTACATATACCTTAGAGCTACTGCAAAATTTTCAACTTTTTTGTTTACTGAAATGTTTAAAATTTTTATAAAATGAATAAAACAAATATTTAATTGTATAAGAACATTCAAGGTTTTTTTTTTATTTAAGCAATACTCTTAAAAAATTAGTTTTTATACTTGTTATTATTAATTTTTTTTTCATTTCATTTTTTTCAACTGTAAAAAAATTAATGGGGACACAAAAAAGATTTTCAGTTCTTGTCTAATTAAAGGCTAATGAATTAATTTTCATAAAATTATCAAGTACTTACTGTTCAAACACCATGTAAAGCATTCCTTCGGAACTGTAGGTTTCCAATAATTCAACTATGTGTGGATGTTTCAACATATGACATATTGTCGCCTCTCGTTTCAAATCTGCAACAAATTTTCAATTGTAACGATAAATTTTAAATTAAATACATATCCTCCTTCCCTCAATTCAAAAATAAAAATTACATTGTTTGATCACTGGGCTTGTTTGTTTTGATGGACGACTATAAATTATATATGATCGGATTATCCCGTAGTTAGTATTCTGATGGCTCGTTCAAGGTTTATTTGAGACCATCAGCCTAAGTCGACATACGACTACCGTTCATGGAAATTTATGATAATGCAACCCCTATTCCTGACTCTGCTTGTTTACAAACAAGTATACAAAACCAGTCTGTGCTATAGGCTGAATAAGGAAAAAAAAAAAAGAAAACCAAATCTATTTTTCTTCCCCACGCACGCAGTATAGATAGAGCAAAAATTCATGAATCAGTTGGATGATGTTTAGTTTGTAAAACAGGATAACTGATGTTTGGTTTATTTTCTCCAAAACCGGAAATTAATGGCTCGAGAATATACACACTCACCCGCTGTACTGAGTCCTGGACTAGAAGTGAACTTTGCCACATCGACAATTTTTACGGCAAATGTCTGTCCTGTCTGCCGATGAATGCATTTCCGTACAACGCTGAATGGTCCCCTGTAACAATAAAGAAAAAATCAGTCCATATGACAACAACATGAATAGAGTGAATTTCAAGTCTATATATATAATATCTTTCATAGAAAGGAGGAATTATTCATACAGCGAAGTTTTAGAATTCTCATTAATTTAAAAATCTGCCTTTTAAATCCTGACCTAATTTACGTCACAACAGAATGCAGTTCAGTAAATTAAATTATTACAATTTGCAAACTGATAATAGTTGATTGAATACCAAACAAAGATTGTAGAGTAAAAAAAAAAGTTTTCTATATAAATAAAAAACAATTGTTAAAATTTTAGTATATACTAAAATCAATAAATATCTCTTCAAACCCCAACATAGAGAGTTCGATTAAATTGACAAATGGTTTGTATATTAATTGAACTTGCATTAAAATTCTAATCAGAGTAGGGAAAGCATATCGTATAGCTAGAATCGTGAGTTTAATCAAGACGATGGAGAGTTGGATATTCGGAAATTTCTGACAATGGGTGTAACCACAAAATCCATTGGAATTGAAAGCAGCCCACGTGCCTACTCTATATTACCGTTGTTTCCACATTATTGGACATCCGTTGGATAGACACATCGACCAGGTACCACACACGAGGAATGGGAAATTGAACTCGATGAATGAGATTATTAACACAGGGCCAAAAGAAATAATAAATAATATTTCTGTGAAGAAACTTTTAGAATCTTGTAACACATGTTTTGTGGGATATACAATGATAAAATATTGTTGACAGCATTTCTTCCTTAAAGCTCTTTTCGATTGTTGGAAGCTTTCCATTCCCAATGGAGCAGAAATGTTTCAACTCTCTCCTCTCTCTTTCTCGTCAACGAGGCTTCAAAGTTTTCAGAGTAACAATACTAAAGTTAATACACAATTCATCTTAGATGGATTTGTAAGTTTTTGAAGGGAATTTCTAGGGAATTGGTGTGTACAATGAAAGAGCTTCGAAACAAGTAAATTGCAATGGGAATATCAGTCTTTTAAAACCTCTTGTGCAGATGCCACCTGCAATGGTCTCTCTTTCTTTTTCTCTTTCTCTTTCTCTCTTTCATTTACCCGTCTACAAATTAGCTTATAATGCAAATTGGTGGAAATTAAAATGAAGAAAACTACACTCGGCAATTTAAAATATCGCTGAATAAGAGGATTATTATTTTTTAGTACTTATTTTCTTATACACAAAAAAAAACTGCTACGTAAAACAAATATTTTAGGTAATTTTATCTCCCTAAAAATAATATAACTATAATCATAATAATATTAGTAAATAATTTTTTTTTTTTCACAAGTGGCTGCAGCATATTTATCAGAAATTGAATAATTGGTTTTAGAATCAAGTTTTATTTAATGCAGAGAAGGAGAAAACGTCTATTCACGTGCTTTACAATCAACCGCTCATTATAGAAAACATTCAATCTTTTACAGCGTATAAGAAAAAAATCGATTTTTAGATATGAATTAATTTCCCTGATTCATGTGAAAACAAATAAATATTGAATTGTTTGTTGTCAACAATAATAATTTCGTACCTAATGGAAATTTGACATCAGAAAAGGAAAAGAAATGTGAACAAAGTTGATTTTTCAAATATAGTAAAAAAAAGTACGTCTCTTGGCGTCATCAAAGCGTTCATATGGATGTTCTGTCGTTTTGTCGCTTAGTTGCACGATCCTTGGCTATTATCCAAGAGCATGACAACAATTTTATTTAGATGTCACAACAGTAAACGTCGCTATTTGAAAATTGAAAGAAACGAATATAAAATATATTAAAAAAAAATTCAAATACGTTAGAACAAGTAGATAAAAATACAATTGTGAAAATGACATCTAATTTTTATCAATATTGATAATGAATTCCAGTTCTATAATGATATATTGTTAAACAGTCTTGTTTTTTAAGTACATACGTCAATTGTTCTTGAGTTAATAGTATAACCACATTTAAATATCAAATTTTGCTATATACGTAAAAATTGAAAACTTAAAATCAATATAGTCTAATTAATTAATATTAAAAAAGAAACCTGTGGTTACGTTCTCTTAAACGTTAAGCTGCAGTAACCACATATACCACAAAAAGCAGGTAATCAAAGGTTAAAATTTAAAGCTCACCAGTGATATTAAAAAGAGTTTTTAAAAAACTACTTTTAATCCACTATCCTATTTTGTCTATAGTAAAAGATTGTTTTTTTAATAAGAGATGTTTTATCATTTACAGATTTTCGAAAATTTTTAAATTAAGTACACTGTGAAAAATTATACAATGACAATAAAGATTATTCTCTCATAATAAGAATAAGATTATTGAATTATTAAAATTTATAATGCTTTCCTTATTGAATAAAGGATTCTCGGTAATAACGAGTAACTATGAAGAGCTAAAGAATGCAGACATTGTAAGTAGAGGAATCCTTCCTTCTTTGCATTAGAATCGAGAGATTCACATTTACATATCCCACCTGGTTAGATAACCTCTTACATTATTTACAGTTCCTCCCCTCAATCTTCTGTTATCTCTTTCTCTTTTCTTCACCAAAAAAAAATGGAAAAGAAAGTTCAAACTTTATATACAGCTATTACTTTTAAAACCTATATTTCTTATTCATTTATGAAATAATTCCACCCTGCATTTATTTATTATTATATTAATAACGTTGATAAAAAAATTATTTAAAATAAATTCACATAAATTTAATTGAATTGCAAAAAAAAAAAAAAAACATGAAAAACTAATTTTTTTCCTTAAAATGTGTTTTTAAACAAAAAATTGTGAATTTTAATTAGTTTAATTTTTAAAAAGCAGTTTTTTACTTAATGTTCTTTAATGTAAGAAATAATTTATTATGTTTTATATAAAATGTTGTTTGTTACAGTTAGTTTGCACAGATGTGAAAAATTAATATTCTACGTGCGTCTTATCAAAGACACACTTTTTTTTTTAGTTACGCACACTTTAATTTAACTTAATCAAACTTAAGTGAATAGGACCATGCCTTATATAAATGGGAATACCATTCTTAAGAATCTCTTTTGCAAAAATATTTTTTTTTTTTTAACTTCTAATAGATATTAAGTAATATGAAAAAAATGTTAAAAACGATTCTATTTTTATTATTTGTTACATTCTCTCATGGTGGTAAGTATTGAATAATTAAATAATAAAAGTAAAATAATTAATTATTGATAATTAATTAAAATACATTTATTTGTCAATAAAAATAATTAAAGAACATTTAATAAAAACGTGTATTGGAAATTTCAGAAAAAGGTTGTGAAATTTCAATAGATTTTCAAGACGGAGATTTAAAAGAACCTCAACCTTTGATTTTAACTAATTCTTATAAAGTTTTTTATCCTGATGAAAATGGAATATTGACATTTTCTAGTGGTCAATCAATTTTGTTAGCCTGTCCAGATAAAAACAATGGTTTCAATGCTCCTTTTAATTCGCAACATATCATTAAAGCTTCTTGTGTTCAAAGTAAACAATTTAAAGTTAATGGAAAGTCTTATTCATTTCATTCATTTACTTGTAAAAAAAGTCAAAAAAGTGTTGTCAAAAGAAAAGGAACTTGTTTGAATAAATTTTCTCAAGTTGACGTTGGTTTTCGTGTACTTGATAATTTTGTTTCAATTTATGAAATTTGCCGAGACGATGATACTGACGAAACTTATTATGTTAAAGAGGAAATGACCGCCAGTGTTGGTGGTCATCAATCGAAAAATCCCAGACCTACTTGGTCAAGTCACAATCTTTTTCAAGGAAAAGTAGATAATTTTTATAAACAAAAACATCAAAAAAGTATTTTAAAACAAATACTTAAATCAGACGAGTTAGTTCAAAAATATTTCAAAAAAGCTCAATTACAACGAGGACATTTGGCAGCAAGATCTGATTTTGTTTATGGAATACAACAAAATGCAACTTTTAGTTATGCTAATGCAGCACCTCAATGGTCATCATTTAACACTGGCAATTGGAAATATATTGAAAATGCAGTTCGTCAATTTGTACAAGTTAATGATTTGGAGGTAACAATTTATACTGGAGTTCATGGACAAATGACGCTTAATGATATTAACAATAATAAACAACCATTATTCCTTGATATTGACGAGAATAATAATAATTACATAAGAGTACCTAAATTTTTCTGGAAAATTGTCTACGATCCAATTAAATATTTAGCACTTACTCTAATTGGCGTCAATGATCCGTTTAGTGAAAAAGTGACAAAAGATATGTTTCTATGTAAAGATATCGCCAAAAGTTCAAAATTCGATTGGTTGACAAAATCATGGAGAAAAAGAACACAAATTTCTTTAGGATTTTCGTATATATGTGATTATAATGAAATAAAGAAAGTTGTTCATACGCTACCAAAACTAAAAGTCAAGGGTAGTTTAGAAAGTTCTGTAAATATTTCCTTAGATGATATAGAAGAAAATAATGACAGCGACGATGAAAATGATTGATCCCTACATAATGAATAAAATTACTTATAATAATAATTATATTAAACAAATATAATAAACATTTGTATAAAAAAAAATTTTTTTTTTTTAAAATGTCTAGTGATGTGAAAATTTCTTTGAAATTGTATGTACGTGGTCAACAAAAACACTTAAAAAACTATCTGGTTTTTTGTAAGAATGCAAATTAATTATTCAGAACACACTTAAGCGTTCATTTTCCATTTGCGATTGCACGACTTTAAAATTCTTATCAGCATCAGAATGCAAAACCATTTAAACATTTGAAACAGCACTCTCTCGCCTCCAAGAAACCTGATTCTAATTAAGTTTTTATTTTGTTTTATTAATGAAAACTAAATAATTTCAATACTTCTTTCGCTATAATGAAGAAACTTTTGTGCTCATTGAAAATGATATTTTTATACAAAAGTATCTTATCTACTCTAAAGTCTGGTAAATATTGCAAAAAAAAAACTTATAATCTATATTAAAAAAAATTGTACGATAATAAAATATAACTATTATTAATTACAATAAACAATTTTCAAATCTTTGTTTCTTATAATTTACCATTTTCCTATTAATTATATTACAACTCCTTTTCCACGAAATAAATAGAAGAAAATTTATTTTCAGAAAAAGATTGCCAAATAACAATAGATTATAAAACAGGAGATCTAAGAGAACCGCAGCCACTAATTTTAGACAGTTCTTTTCAAATTGTTTATCCAGATGAAACCGGTAGATTAAAATTACAAGCTGATCAATCAATTCTTCTGGCCTGTCCGGGAAATGCTAATAAATTGAATCTTACTTTGATATCGAAAAAAATCAATAAAGCAACATGCGTACGAAATAATTTATTTTACATAAACAACAATATTTATTCATTTCATTCTTGTGTTTGTAAAAAAAATTTCAAAAGTATCGTCAAAAAAAGTGATACGTGTCTTGATAAAAAATTTTCAAAAATCAAAGTTGGCTTTCAACTTGCAAAAAAGTTTATATCAATACTGGAAATTTGTCGAGATAACAAAACTCATGAAACATATTATGTGAAAGCGGAAATGAGTAAAAGTATCGGTTGGTATCAAAGTAACAGCCCCAGACCTAGTTGGTCGAGTCACAATCTCTTTCCAGGTCATAATATAAATTTTCTCTACACGAAGAAAAATCAAGTCAAGATTTTGGGAATTATACTCAATTCAAAAAAATTGGCTCAAGAATATATAAAAAAATATCATTTACAACGAGGACATTTGGCTGCTAAATCTGATTTTATTTACGCAACAGAACAAAATTCGACATTTACATTAGCAAATGCAGCACCACAATGGTCATCATTTAATTCTGGTAATTGGAAATATATTGAAAGTGCAATTCGAAAATTTGTCATCAGTAATGAATTAAAAGTGATCATTTATACTGGCGTTCATGGACAAATGTCACTTAGAGATAATAATCGTAAAAAACAACCGATATTCTTAAGCGTTGACAAAAATAATAATAATTATTACATTCGAGTACCAAAATTTTTTTGGAAAATAGTTTATGATCCAATTTATTGTTTAGCATTCACAATTATTGGAGTGAATGATCCTTTTAGCAAAAGAATTACAAGCGATATGTTCTTATGTAAGGATATTGCACAAAGGTCAAGTTTTAATTGGCTAACAAAATCGTGGAAAAATCGAATGAAAATTGATTTCGGTATTTCTTACGTTTGTGATTATAAGGAAATAAAAAATGTCATACATTCCTTGCCAGATCTAAAAGTAAATGGAATTTTATAGAGTTATATTTAATGAGCTTGTTAAAATTTTATAAAGACACTAATGTATAATTATATGATATTCGAATATTGAATAATAATCAACTATGTTATATAATTATTATAATGATATTGAAGATCAAAGAAATGTGTAAACTGTATTTTCTTTGTCATCTCAAATTCACTTTAATAAAATAATTGTTATGGTCTAATTTCATGGTGAAATAGTAGTACAGTAAAATGACAAACTAAATCAAATAACTGAATCATTATCATCAGAAGATAAATGTTTATTTGAATTAAAAAAATTATAGTTCTTCAATCAAATAAAAAATAAATAATCCCGCAAATTACTAATTTTTTTCAACATGAAGCACTTTCCACTACTATAAGTTAAAACAAAAAACAAATTCTTTACTTTACAATTTCTGAAAACATAATTTCATCAATTTGTCAATAAAATGGATGACTTTGCGAGATGTTCACTTTTATATTTCAAGCACAAACACAAAAACATTTTTGATTTAAATAATACATCAGAAATCAAAACTGACATTCAAATCAAATATATTTTTCACTGAATTCTAAACTCTATCTAAAGTATCCTTTCACGTTGAGTGTAAAATATTAAAACAAAAATAATATAATTTATGTTTTTATTTTTAAATTTATCAAAGGACCTTCAATCAATAAATAAATAATTAAAAGCTCAACTATAAATTTTGCAATACAAACACACTAAACTTTTATGCACAAAATGCTGAAATATTATCAAAGTAACGTATAATGAATAGAAGGCTCTATACAAAATTCGTTGAACTATATTTTAAAAGCACCCATTTCATTACTTTCCTTTTTCGAAAAAAGTAGGAAAAGTTAAATGAATTCAAGTCCTTTAACCTGAAGCAAAAGTTTTTTTTTTTAAATTTTTGTTCAAGGAATTTGAAATAAAATTCTACTAAAACTAGAATTGTAAACTATTCACTCAAACATCGAAAATAACTATTCTCTGACAATAAACTTCCAAGAATGTAAATTTGACAATTGAAAAAGAAATAAACAAATTATTACTGACAAATTGACAATAACTATACTAAAAGTCCAAACAAACAAAACATCAATAATCAAACCTAACCTAAAAATAGGAGAAATAACTATATTACAAAAAATTGAAAAATAAATTGACTAATAACAAATTTTGATTATATTTTAACTGTCGAATTTAGTGTTTTTTTTTATCATAAATTCTAGGAAAACTAATAAAACTTACTCACGAGCATTAATAAGATCAAAGAAGTATATAATAATCTGATTATCATAAATATGAATTCTGTAAACAAATGCAGGGAAAAATAAACATCTAGAAATTGACTACTGTCATCCGCACATGCTCCATTTGGCCTGAAGGCGTATTTTTAGGTTACGCTACTGCCATTACGCCCCTGTTAGTATTAAAACTCTCATAATATATTATGATTCATTAAAGGTACTCACTTGCCAATTATCTCGCAGAGTTCATAAACATCGTCAAACAAAACCTCGTCCTCAGCCATTTTTTCACTTTTGACAGTGGGTGGTAAAAACAAACGAGGCTCCTAATAGATTAGACGAACGTGACGACAGTCTTAGCAGCAAGTTCACGGCGCCTCGCCCCTCCGAATAGTATCACCCGCTCCACGCACGAGTCACAGAATGATTACGCACTGTACACTGATTGTCGCACTGATCTCTGCACAGAGATTAAAAATGTTATTATTATATTTTTACTTAGAATATGTAATAATAAATAATGTTGTATTGAGATGACATGGGCATGTCAATCGAACGCCATCGGCTGCTCCCGGGCTACCCACCGGTGAGCAAATGAATGATGAATTATTATTTCGCGAGCACAGCTTCTAAAAATCCATATGAGACCAGATTAAATTCGGTCTTATGGAATTTATTAAGATTATTTGGGCCCAGAATTGGCCCCCAGTCTTGATAAACCGATACGAGTGCAGATTACTGGGAGCAGAGCCGCTCGCTCCAATGTAAAACTGGTTGCATAAAATGCGGCGAGCAACTGCGCCGTGTCATACTGCGCATGTTTCAATGGTGGGGCGGGCGTGGTTAGAAGTATTCAGTTTTATTTTATATTTTTTTCTGCTTTTCTTTAATGTTTCATTATATATTTTAAATGGGGTAAATCTTTAATCTTCGGTATAAAAATATGAGCTGTAAAAATGTTTTCTGTTAACACAATAAACGAGAAAGAAATTGATTTAAAAATATTATCACGAAAGTATAACTGGTTGCCTTTAAAGCGCGGTTAAAATTAAATTAGTTATCTATTTTGCCGGCACAATTTAAAATAAAAAAAACATTTAACATTTTTTATTAATATTAATTAACATACATAAAATTAAAATATTATTAACTGTTGTCAATATACTATTTTGCAAAAAATATTATTTCCATTACAGTTATCGACAATCATTTTACCTTATGATGGTAGTTTGGTAACTACTGTAAATTCAAATATTGCCGGCAAAAATTTATATGAATTAAAAAATATATTATTGAATAATAATTAAAATTGTCAAAACTAATTGAAATTATAAAATTAAAAAATTTATATCTTTATTTTTAGATTTAATTGTAATTTAAAATATTGTTATTCTATTTCATTAATTTCTATTTTTATTTTTAATTATAATGTAAATATTTTAAAAATTCTTCTTCCGTATAAAACAATAATTAAATTAATAATTTGTATTATTTAATTACTGCATTAATAAAGAATTTAAGAAAAATATGCATGTATGTAATTTAAAAAATTAAAATTAGTCTTCAATTAAAAATAAAATTAAACAATTGATACACGATTAATGTAAACATAAATAAATTTAAAAAAACACATAAATATTAAAATTGTAAAAATATTGTAAAAAGATAGATTTCAATAGCAACAATAAACATCGCACATTCAGTTTATTGGTTTTACGATTTACAGTCGACAGGGAAAATACATTCCTATGTAAACTATATATGAGTATAAGATTTGCACTCAAAACGATTCACTTCATTAAATATAAAAAAATTTAATTATAACAGGTATACAATATATAAAATCTAGCTTAATTCGGCTTTTTAAATTAACTATAAAAAAAATTGTTATTATAGGTGCTGATAAATTATTTAACTAGTAAAGTATTAAATAATAAGAACAATAATAATAATAATAATAATAATAATAATAATAATAATATTATTATTATTATTATTATTATTATTGTTATTATTATATAATATTATTATTAAAGTAATTAAAAAAAATATAAGTATAATATTAATAATAATAATTACAATTATACAATAATAACCACTCTATTTTAACGTCTATTTTAGAATGCGTCAGATTATTTATACGCATAAAGCTTTTTTTCAATAAAGACTTTGTCTTTATTCACAAATATTTCCAAATGTAAATTAATATTTATATTCATAGAAAACAATGGACATATCATTTTTCTTTAATCAACATTCATAAAATCATCGTATCATACATTTATAATACTGAAACACGTTTATAACCGACCATATCGATGGACGATGTAATAATTTTTTTTTTTCAATTTGCATTTGAACAATACTTTTTTCCAACTGTCACACACATACATTTACAGTCACAAAACAAACATAAAATTCATTTTAATATTTTTTTTTATTGTAGAAAAGAATATTTTGTTCTTCAATTCTTCAATAAATATTGCATTATTTTAAAATTAATTAATTAATTAATTAATTTTAATTAAAATGCATGTTTAAATGAATTTTCGTTTTACAAAGGCTATCAGCAATTTTGACAATTTCTTTAATCACTAAAATAATAAATTAAAACATTCATTTTATTATACACTTCCATATAAATCACATTCCATTGACATAACAAATAATCATCTCATCGTTTAAATTTGTAACATTTAATTTTATAACTCGTATGAAATTGCGAAATTATATATAATATATATTTACTTTTAATGACATTTGATGTACAAAAAAAAGTCCACTTCTATAATAGTTACTATTATAGTAGCATTCTAAATTTTCTCTATTTATATATATATATATATTATATATATATAGTTATTTGGAACATCTTCCAGTCAAGTCTTATTTTGAGTTTCACGCACATTCGTTTTATAAAATAGTAAGAAATACGTGCGTCAGAGATTTCTATTTAAAGCAGTGAAATTATGATCACACTTTTAAATAAACATTAATAAAATATTTTTAAACTTTAATAATTTTTGTTTTAAATTTAACACAATTTTTAACTTTAATAAATTTTTTATTCCTTTAATTTTCTGTTTAATTTTTCTATTCATTCTATATAGTTCTTTTTGTTAATTTTTTTCATTTTGATTTTATTTCTTAACTGTTTGATGCAAAAAAATTTGATCATAATGGTCATTGCTTTTGTGTGCCAGCAAATAATTATTCGCACGAAATACATAGCTAAAAACGATCTACTTATAATTATTATTTACACTTGAAGCATTATTCATTATTCTAATGGTATAAAAAGTGTTTTCTAATATAAAATGACTGATCGGTTGATTGTACAGGACGTAGTATATTAGTTTCTAAGCGATACTTTTGTAAATGCTTTTATATTTAATTTTCGATGATAGCTTTTCTCGTAATAAATATAACTATATGATGCATGAAGTAAAATTATTCGTACAATGTGAAATTAACGCTTGAGAAAGACAAAAATATTTGAGGTAATTCTTGCATGGACTAATAATATAGTGACTCAACTATATTTTTGCTTATTCAATATAAAAATTTCATATTAAGCTCTGTGAACTAACAAAATACAATTGAAATGTATGTAAAAATTTCAAAAATAAAAAATAGACAGAGTTTATTGTTTACTGAAACAAGATTTACAAATTTATAAATAAAAATGGTTAATTTTTGATTATAAAATTTTTAATTTATAGATATAAATCATTATCAATTTTAATTTGTTAATTGCAAATTAAATTAGTAATTTATAATTAGAAATTTGCAAAAATCTGGAAAATTAAATAAAATGAAATTTTTTTTTATTATTTGCTCTTTCCGAATTTATAAAGCCTATTTTTGTAATTTAAATTATTTAGAAAATATAATTTAAGAAGTTCCACTATCCATTTATTATTTTTCATATAGATTAGCAGTTTACACTTCGTTGCTTTGAATCTTTTCTGCATAGATAAATAATTTTTAGCTTTTGTCTAGCTAATGAGCTATGAATTTTAAAATTTCAATCAAGACTCTAGTTTCTAGAATTTACTACGTTTCATGCTTGCTTACATACTTTTTGTAAATACAAAATTAGATGATCTAATATAAAATCATTTAAAAATTCAAAAAATCATTAGTAGGCCTATATTTTTATTATTTTCGATAATTTTCATCTTTCGCATCAAAAAAATTCGTGTCTTCTTGTAAAAATTTTATATTTCATCACCTAATTTTTTTCTTTTAATCAAATTTACGCATTATATCATTTGAAGTTTTGTTGATTGTGCGCAGGGAGATTATTATGAAACTAGATTATTTTCAAAAATTAATATTTACATTAAAACCAATATTTTTTCTATGGTAATAATATTATGTAAATATAAGATTTACAGTAAAATTTACTAAAACAAAAAAATTGATTGCAAAAAAAAAGTTAATTTACATCTACAATTGCACTGTTCAATCGAAACTCAAGTCAGAAAACTCTTGATTTTATAAAATGCATAGCTGATTACAAGAAGAATGTTTTTTAAAAAGATATGTTTACGACTTGAGCTTTCGAGGCATCAACAAAATGCAATTTTTATAGTCTTGAAAATTTCATCGAGAAGCGATGAGAAATATTTTATCTTGATGAATCTAGTAGAAAAATTATTTGTGTTCCCTGGTTTGAGCGTGCAGTCTTTACACCATATGATATCTGCGTCTCCTTTTGACTGTGGATGGAAATTCCAGTACTTATTTTAGGCCCTTGAGTCAAAACATGTACTCGTTTCTTTCAATTTTTTTTTCTTTCATCACTGCGAGCTTATACCATCAGTACTTTCATTAAAATAATAAACTGAGAGTAAAAAGTTAAATGGCACTACAATTTTAATTTGTCGTTTCCTTCATATTTTTTTTATTTATTCACTATTTTAGGACAAAAGAATTTCTTTTATTTTAGAATTATTTTTTCATGAAGGATGTCTAAAGAATATATTTCGTTGAAACACATTTTTAGGTCAAATGAATTACTAAAACTGTTTATCTTTTATATTCTATTCCATTCTCGTTTGGATATTCTAAGTTTACTTTATAAATAATTGTCTCGAAACTTTTTACTTTCAGCTTATTATTAATCGAATTATAACCGAATTTCATTCAACATACGAATTTAAAAGCATTAAAACATTAATCTCGTCACGACTGTCTTTAACGCAGCGCAGATAAATTTGTCACTCGTAATAAAAAACGAACAATCACACATTAAAGCGGCTTCACAAGTGGCTCCACAGGATTGCAGAAAGGCTTCGAAAAGTCTTACTTCATTAGGCACATTGAGTTCGTAGTAGCGATGAGATAATCTTGACATAGGTCAGTCTTTGAGAAAGTTGATAATTTTTTTTTCTTTATACAAATTCTAGCCAGTTTTTCGCCCCGTGTGGGCGTAAGACTTCTGCTAGACCCAATATTGATTTCTTCTGAGAAGAGGATTTGGTCGCTGTGATGTTGCCGATTGACAGGGTAATTCCGTAGTATCGAAACTACTCCACTCATCACCGTCGGCAACTCCATAGGGATACCTCGCTGAGACGTCGACCTCAGAGCCCGTTATACTCTCCAATGGACTCAAAGGAATAACTTTGCATTGAGGTAAAGTGGATGTCATCGTTGGAAGAGATGGTAAAGGTGTACTGGCAGTTAAGTTATTATGATCATTGGCAAATCTCTTAAGATGAGGTGTTGCAGGCATCAAATGATCAGGAGGTCTTGGTAAAGGCATCACACCAACAGTTGGTGATGATTCTGGCTTGTCATCTTCTTCCGCGTATTTATATTGATTTTGTCTGTATCTAATTGTAATGATCACGACAACACTCAGTACAAAAACACCAATCAACATTCCCAAAATGAGTAAATAATCGTTACTCATATTTGGAGCAATTGCCATTTCACCCTCATGACCAACTGGGTCCATTGGACCACCCAGAGTCATATTATAGCCGTCGGGATCCAGTTTCAATCGATAGGAAAACACTCCTTCCGCTGGTTGATAAATGGAAGCAACCAAAATAAAACCAAAATTATCCGGAACCCCTTCAAAATGCATGGTTGATATTTTTTTGCATACCAAGTAAATCACACCGGAGACAATTTCCTGATGAGTGAATCTTGACACTTCTTTTTCGCGTGTTCCTCTCTTTTCACCGGACGATGATGAGCTTCTGATAATTCTCTTGAGTTTGGCGAGTTTTGGTTTCTTTATCACCGTGTAAATTGGATTGCTATTTGTCAATTTAGCAAGTGGTGTTGCATCTAAATATTGAAGAGTCAATTGTGTCTTTTCACCGGCGACTATTATTAGAGGATTCATGATCATTAATGGTTCAACTTTTATGTCGATATGGATGTTTTTGACTTCAAAGCCACTAACATGAGCTGATAATTCTAAACTGTCATTCGAGACTGTCATGTCGTTTTGCATGAATATAACACTCTTGGCAAGTAGATCGAGATGTTTGAAGGTTACTGCAGGCAAATTTCGTACATAAAGTACACCATGTTTAGGTGATCTTGTCACATTATAGATGATTAAATCTTGTCTTACATTCGAGTCGAGTTTCACGTTATCTTCGGAGATCATGGCAATATTTTGACCTTGTGGTATCATCACTGAAAGGGGAACGGTAACGTTCAATTTTATTGGAACAACGTGAATATGAAAGAGTTTGTATACGGGATTAAAATATCCATCCGAGACGCGAAAGTGAATAGAAGCTTGCAATGGACCACTGTGTTCATAAACAACTCTTGAAGAATCTATGTCAAATTGAGAAAATTTATTCGCTATCTGTACTTCCGACGAATTCTGATTAAACGGCAACAATAGCAATCGGCCATGTGTTGGTCCAGATATCACCTCGTAAATAAGATCTTCAGGTCCAGTATCTGCATCCGTTGTTAATAAATTATCTCGTGTTATTGTCTGATTTTGATTTTGTACAACTGTGATGTGTTCATTTATCTCGAGTTTGAATTGCTGATCGTTAACGGGTGTAATCATCACTGAAATGCTGACGTTGCAGAGAAAAACTTGCCGCGCTAGTTGTGAAGCTATGAGATAGAGAGAAAATCCAATACTATCTTCCGTCGTGTCAGAATGATCATGAAAATAAAAAACTTTTCCATTTTCAAGCTGAGGCTGCTCGAAAGTTGTAATGTTCAAGTCTGGTTGCAGCATCACATGGCCATGCTGAGGACGAGCTGTAAGTTTTAATCTCACTATTGGTTCGGTAATCCCGGATTTTGTTTTTAGAAAATAAATTATTCCACTGATGTTCATGAGGACTTGTGCATTTCCTCCTTCTTCAACTCTTACTGTTGTTGGAACAACGTATCTGTCCAGTCCTCCACTCGAGACTGAAATGTCTATTCTAAATACCTAAAAACAAGGACAATTGTTTTTAAAAATAACTTGCTGGGAAATTATTATAATCATACTGGGATTTGATAACAAATTTTTTTTTAATGTTGAAAGTTTAAATACTTTACTAGTAGTCTTTAAAGTTTAATAATTTTTCAATGATTAATTTTTAATAATTTATTTACAATACTTATCTTTCAGTAGTCAACTTTTAATACTTTATTTTTTATACTTAACTTTTAATATTTGACTTTCTTTATTATTTATTTGGAATTCTTCACTTTTAATTTTCTTTTTTCTTTTGAATATTTCACTTTAAATATTTCATTTTAAAATATTCTTTCTTCGTCATATTTTTCTTTGAATTCTTCACTTTTAGTGCCATTTTTACCATTCCAGTAAAAACAAAAAGCAAATTGAGAAAAATTCAGGTAAATTTTCTGAATAACATCTTCAATCCCGTTTTGTGAAAAATACGAATTGAATAATGTATGAAGCATTTCGTGTCTGCACATAGCATTTCACTTCTAATGCTTCTTCTATTTACATGTAATCTCTAATATGTTGCAATACGTGTGTAATTTTTGTAAATTCGTTTCAAAATTGTAAATTCGAATTTGATTAGAGATTAGTCAATTTTTTTTATTCAATTCACATGATAAAAAGCGGGATTTAAATGAATTCGAATGAATTTGACTGAATTCAAACGAAATAAAAAATAATAAGAATAATTCGGAAAATTTTGAAGAGGCGATAAATAATAAGGGCAGGAAATTTTAGAGGAGAGGACGATTTTTAGAAACAGTGTAAAAAATTATTCTAGGTAACAAAATAAATAATAATAAAAATAGATAAAACTGGCACTTTCTTTCAAGACTAATTTCAAATTTAAAACTTAACTTTTGATATTCGATTTTCAATACTGAACTTTCAATATTTGACTTGAAATTCTAAACTTTCCAATATTAAATGTAGGATATTTAACTCTCAATAATTTAAAAATACTAAACTTCCAATATGTCAATATTTAGTTATTATACCTAACAATTAATATTATAAAATTGATTTCTTACTTGGTTGAGAATTGGCATCGCATAATGAGTCTCGACGTCAAATGTGAAAGAATCGTTGGCCAAAAGATCCATAAATTGTTTGGTGTGTTCGTAAGTGACTTTATTTCGATTAAGATTACTTTGAGTAAACTTATTGACTTCCTGCCAAGCACCTTCGCTAGTTTCCATTATAATTTTTCCCATCCTCGGTGGATTTTTGACAACGTATCTAATTTCTCGATCATTATCGGAACAGTTCGTTAACAGTAATTTATCAGAGATCGTCTTCCTCGTTAACGGAAAAACATTTAGGGCATTGTTCTTTTGAATTAAGAGGAGAACGGGTTTTGTAACAATTGGAATCTTGTAAGTGTCCGTTGCATGTATACCATCAAATAAAGTGAAGGAAAATTGTGCATCACTTCCATCTGAAAATAAAAAAAAAATCGTTAATTTTAAATTAATACAAATAATAAATGGAAATTATAATAAAGAAAAACTTTATGTGTTATAAATGAATATTAAATATCAATAATAACTATGTTGACAGGTTCCATAAAAATTTTCATTTTATGTAACCTGTCAAGACCGTAATTATTGAAATTTATACAAGTTTTGAAACATTAAACAACATCTCTTTGATATAAATGTTAAATTTGTTTGTTTCAGTTCAAAATAGTATTTTTTTTTATTAAATTGATTTATTTTTATTTACTGAACTTTCGATTAAATAAAAATTCAGCTAAACGTAATATCGGAAAAATTCAAGCCTTTCATCTTTCAAAGAAAACTTAAATTCCTTTTTCGAGATTCATTTAAATAAATATTTTGAAAACGAAATTTTCAATAAAAAGAAGAAAAACTTACTGGTGTGTGTAAATAAAACCTTTCCGTCATTGATTTGCTGTTGACTGAAAATATAAACATCCCTCTCAGGAATAGTAGTAAGTGAAATAAATCCATTTTTGACACTTGTAACGTTATAAATGACATCAACAGGAGATGTGTCATTGTCAATGGCATGTAATTGTGATGTTGAAAGTACAATGGAGCCTCCTTGCCATACACTCAATTTTGTTTCACTTGAAAGAATCGGAACCTCATCATTAACTGGTTGTACATTAATCCAAACTTTAAAAGGTTCACTCGTCTTATCACCAGCTGTTACAATCATTTTGAAACTATCACTAAGTGATTCATCTCCATTATGTCTATAAACAATTATTCCAGAATTGATGTGCTTTTGAGAAAATCTTCTGACTTGAGAATTTTTCGTTGAATCCATAATAGAGCCATGTTTTGGTTTTTCTTTTATTGTATAATCGATAATTTTACCAGCGTAATATGGTGTGATTGAGTAAAAATCACTTGGCGCAAAGGTAACAGTTTTACCTTCAATCACAGTTAAATTATGAGCAATCATGTACAATTTTTCAGGAATCATGACAAAATTTACAACAAGACCACGCAACCATGTGATGCCATTGGTAACATCAACAACAAATCTGTCACGAGTTTGATTGATTACTGCCTGTACGTAATACAATCGGCCTTCATTGATTAAATTTTGCTCAAAATGCTTCACTAAAGTTCCACTGTAATCGTCTTTTGTTTCATCGCTGAATTCATCTTGCGATTGTATTTCCAAATAACCATTTCTTGGCCACTCTTGAAGATGATACGTAATTTGATTGGCTGGTATTTTTGGATGCATTATCTCGAGACTCTTTTTACTAATCAAAATGCTCGTAGCCTCTTCGACAAAAATAGTCTTATTACTCTGAACAATTAAAGTTTCCCAATAACTCTCGGGATAAATTTTCACACCAAGAATTCCTGCAGCTTCTGCTCCCTTTGCCGAGACCTTGAATTTAACGCTGTCCTTGTTGGATGAACCATCGAGATGTTTATAAGACACTACACCTTTCGTCAAATCATTTTGATTAAAGCTAATAGTTTCTCTTGAATGTTTCATGAAAATTCCAAAATTCGGTTTCTCCATAATCACAAACTGTATGTCTTTGTCTGCTGCATAGACATTTGTTTCCAAATCTATTTCCTTGTTAGTGAGAGTCGCTGATTTATTAAATTGAACAACTAAATAATTACCGAGGTGAAGATTAATATATGGCGCACTAGCCTGGATCTCCAATTCACCTGGTGTTGATATCTGACCATCACTGACGGTAAATTTAAAAATTCCAGTATCGTCTCCATAATGACGAAACATGATCAAATCATTGTTGATGTCCTCTTGAGTGAATTGATTCAATTGAACGGAAAAATCAGTGATTTTATACAGAGCACCATTTTCAATGTCTTTCTTGGTGTAAACTAAATTACTGGCCTTAGTGTCAAGGTCTTTATCAATATAGAGTAAATCCTTGCTTGTCAAAAGACGTTCACCTTTTGAAACAACATAAAACACTTTTCTTTCAACTCTTTCCGGTGGATTGTCATTTCTCATTGTGACATCAACTCTAAAGACCCCAATGTACATAAAATCAACACCATTATTAGAAGTAGCTAAAAACTGAAAAGCATCTTCTTTAGATTCAGAGTCATCATGAATATAATACACTAATTGTGATGAAAGTTCTTGTAATGTAAAATAAGACGATTTTGATCTGACAACAGAATTGGAATCATTCATTACAATCAACCATCCATGATGTGGACCACTTGTGATATTAAAAATTAAAGATGTCACTCCATAATCATTAAAATTCGTTTTGATTATCTTCAATGGCACTTCAGATCCTTCCTTAACTTGTAAAGACTCGACACTTTCAGGAACTTTCAAGTTCTTTGATACATAATGTCTAAATGTTAAACTCGAAGAAATCTCTGTACACTGTGGAGCGGAAACCTTAAAAAGAAATTTATCCTCAATATTCGAATAAGCTCTTCGATAAAGTCTATATTTCAATTTTCCAGAATCAACATCTTCCTGTGTAAATGTATTGGACTTTTTTAGAATTTGTTGAATGAGTACAAGATCACCGTACCTTGGAATTGCCTCTATTCGATAAATAATTTTATTCAATGAAGTATTCAACGGATTCGTTTGATACCGCAAACTCTGTGTGCTTATAGACACATCAGCAACGTTTGTAAAGTTAATTCCGTACTTTCGCATTTCCTTCAATTCAAGATCGATAAATGTTACTTTAAACTCAAAAGTCTGTTGAGTTCTGACTTCTCTAACACTAGCTTGAAATTTAAATCCATCGTTACTGGGACTGCCAATATTGTGTATATAACGAACATTTTGCATATCAACATCTTTACTACTGAAATAATCGACATCCATCCAACTTCCGCTTTGATTCTTGATTCTCTGCATGGCGCCGTATTGAGGTGGTACAACAATATCGTAACGAATTTCAATACTTGAATCATCCGAGTTTGTTACGAAGGAAAGATTGGCAGGCGTTAGGTAGGAAAATGAACGATGCACTACAACCAATCCTGTGTTGTACTGTAATTTGATCGACAAAGGATAAGCGGACACACGTAAACTAGCTGGCTTGCTTGTCTCTATTCCATCACTCACTTGAAGTTTCAACATTGCATTCGATTTGGCTGGAAAAAAAGAGCCTTTTAGAATTTTCTTTTTCTCTATTACAGAAAAAAGAGAATAAAGAATATTTTAATTCCACTATTGATTTATCAATATTCTTTTTAAAAAAATTTCCAACTCTGAAAAATAATAAAAATATTCATTTGACGAAAACATCAAAAAGCTATTACAGGATTTTTTTCCCCAAGAATTCGAAGAAAAGAGAAAAAAAGTTTTACTTTTCTTCTGTATAATTAAATCAAGTCTCTAAGTTTGTTTGACTTCGAATTAATTCTTAATCAAAGTTCTTTTTTCCCCGTGGACTAACTATTGTTTATTTCTGCAAATAATATTATTAAACATTTTTAATAAAATTAATTCATTTCATCTATTTTCAAACCCTAATTTATATATAAAATTGAAATTTGAGGAATAAAAAAATAAATTATATAATTTGTAACATGAAAAGAAAATGTTAATGAATAAATGATGATCTTTATACTGAATTGCCGAGTGAAATTAATAAATAGTTCGAAATCCAATAAATGTCTAAAGATTAAAGGAGTGAAAATGCTGTTATTTATTAATGGGGGGCGAGAGTGAAGAAAAAAAAATTACCGTTTCCACGATGAACGTAGGCGATTAATCCTTGGAGTAATTCCGCTTGCGTGAACGTATCGATAGGACGTGATGGATTCGTCACTTTTTCTACGTGGCCAGCATCCGTATCTGCACGAAGAACCGTGTACATCAGCGTTTCCGGAGGAGTATCAGCATCAACGGTCCAAATTAATTCCTTCGTCAGCGTTTTTCTGGTTCCCTGAGCATTTAATTGCAGTTAACAATGACACACGTACTCGGGGCCATATATACGAAGGCGAGAGTGAACATAAACGCTTAGTGCAGTTGATTTCTATTCTATTCGTGATATATTGACGTGAGCTAATGTTCCGTCAATTAATTCGAACGCATTTAATTGTTTTTGAAAGTTAATATAATATCAATAAACTTACTGACAGAGTGTTACTTTACGTCTATCTAATTATTATCAAATATGATTGACTACTAATTATAATTAATTAATAAATCCAAACAATTTAATTCTTTAAATTCATAACCATGAAAAATTAAATTTATTTAATTTAATAAAAATAAAATTATACGAATAATTAGAAAAGAAAGTAAATTAATAATTATGCAATAATTTTATAGAATAAAATTTTATAAATTTCCTTCTTTGCGTAATTTAAAAAAATTGGAAAATCTAAATTTAATTATATTAAAATTACTGCAATTATTAAAGATAACAAAAATATTTTTTAATTATAAACTTAAATATTATGATTTTATCTTGCAATTGGAAATGGTAACCGAGGTAAAAAGAAACATCAATCAGGCATAATTGAAAATCAATAAATAGCCGCGAGTTCAAAGATCGCGTCTAGAAAAATGCTGCGGGGGTTTTATATATAGCGCTTCTCCCGTCAAATCTCGTTTGTTGAAAGTTACCATAGTATCCCCTTTGCAGATGAATTATTCGAAAATTTTCCAAACATCGAATTTGTTTACTCGATTTATGTGAAATCTTTGATCAACCGAGACCTTGAACTTTTATAATGTCGATTTAAAAACGAAAAATATGAATTTTTAATTCGGTACTAATATCATTGAGTTCGTTGACACCTTACATATTATGGTTTATGTATATTATATAGAAGGAGATTTATGACTTTTTTTTGAACTAATTCTTTTTTCTTTTTTCATTGAGGAATGCACATTGCAGACTTGTCAAAAAAAACGTGAAGAATGATTAATGTCACGAATTCCAGTTATAAAAGCATTTTTTTGTTTTCAGTGCAAGATGCAATTTGCATATCTTAATTAACTAAGCGCGAAATACTTTTTTTAAGAAAATATGTTAATATTAATATTTTATTGTAAACAATTAAATTTCAATTATATTTTATTTAATATGATACATGAATGTGCAATATTATGAAAATTAAATTATTTCAAGTATATTTTTCCAAATTTAAATTATAATAACTTTTAAAAAAAAAAAATTAAATTATTTTATAAAATACTAGAATGAATAATTTCAAATTTCAGTACAGTAATTTAATTAAAATTCAGTTTGACTCATTAAAAAAGAAACTCTCTGAAAAGGGTTTTAATTATTAAAATAAATGTAGATAGTTAAAGTTAAAATTATAATAAGCGAGATATTTGGAATGCATTTAAATATTTTTCAGAAATTCATAAGCTCAAAACTTCGATTGGTATAAAATTTATAATGTAGAATTTCTATTTTATCAAAAGTATATGTAATCAAAAAGTACGGTTGAAATTATAATAAACCAAATTTCCATACCGTAAAATTTTTTATTTCATGAAATTCACATTTCACAGAAAAGAAAATTTTTATTAGTCAATTTTGAAATTCGTGCTAAAATACCTTTTTTGAATATTAATTCGGATAAATGTAAATTCCGAATCAGTCAAATAGAAATTAGATTAAATAAAAAACATACAAAATAAAAAATTGGTTCAATAAAAACTATTTTATAAAATTCAAATAGAAATTCGTTATTATAAATTTATAATAAGAAACATTCGAACTTTAGATTTTCTTTTTTACCTTGAAAATTTCTTAATTTTTTTTTATAGAAAAATATTATATATAAATGATGTAAAACAGAAAAAAGCTTTTATCGAATTTAGCATTATAAGAGTTGAAAATGTGACAATAAAAACATAGAGAAAGAAAATCTGCTTACGATTAAGTGCAAACAACGTCAGGGAGAAATCAATTATTATTATGTTGGGAGAAATGGAGTTTATTTTCACAACTTACTTGTGCGAGTCGTAGCACTTTGGCCGACGGTATTTCTAGCATTGGAGGGTCGTTGACAGGCGTCACGTTGACATATAACGAAAATCTCAGGCGCCCTTGAAGATAACTGGGTAACGTGTATCCAGCATCTGACACAAGTGTCACTTCCAAAATCATATTATCTACCGTGGTTTCACTGCCATCGTGTACATATTGTATCTGAAAAGAAAAAAAAAATAGACATGATCAAAGGATATACATACATATATGTTATATGCGACAAGTGCGGCCAAGTTAAAGCACAACTTTGCGAATCTAAGTGCCATAAATTTGCCAGTTTCTTCTTCCCTCTAAAACTTAAACTGCGCCATTAACCCGAACCCACGAAGCGCAACTCTCCCGCGCGCGTATAACTTCAGAGGAACACATTACAAATTTTCTCACGCCTTTATTTTCGTTTTACTACACTTTGTTTCTGCATGTATTAAAGAGCATTTCGTGAATTTATTCATTGTTATTTCTGACGAAAAACGTAAAAATCAATTTCCTCCCACGGCGCAAGTTTATTGACGAGATATAATGGTTTGCGGGAATACGTGATTAATATTCGTTTTTATTTGAATTGAAAATTTGTTATCATTTTTCAAATAAAATAATTTCTTCAAGTTATAAAATTCTTTTAAATGAATAAACTTTCTTTTATTAATAATAATAATATAATATTAATCGCAATAAATTATCGAGATTGAATTATAAAAATAGCTTCAATTTTGGAGCAGCAATCTCAACTGAATTCGAAACAGGAAGTGAATTTATTATCTAACAAGTTACGAAACTTCCGGTTCAGAAAATAGCAGATGTATCCGAAATGGATTAAATGGAAGAAATAAATCCGTAAGAAGTTATTAATGCACGAAGAAAATTGTTCTTTTAGAATTCTAAAGGAATAATTTGCGTTGATTAGAAAATAAAAGTTAAAAAAAATTCAATATATAAAGTGTTAAATTAAATTTTGTATTATATAAACATTTTTATAAATTGACAAATAATTAATTATTAAAACTTGAAAACTTCAATGCGCGCCTTGAATTAAATTCTCAAACCAATTTACTTTATTTTTTGAATGGTCTTCTCCTTTAATTTTCCTCAATTAAAACCAGATGCTCGTTTATTCAACTTTCCATTGGAAAATAAAAGAGAAAAAAAACACTAACCCTCTACTAAAAAAAAAAAAGTTGGATCTCTCTAAAAATATGATTTCAAATTAATGTCTAAAACTCCATTTATATTTGAGTGAAAAGAAATGTAGGGTGAAAAGATATTTTTCCATTGAAATGAATCATGAGTTGAAAATTAAAACAATGTTCAGTTTTGTTAATGAAACATATATGTAAATTAATATCATTAATTAAAAATATTGCATTAAACCATTTTAAACAAACAATATTCATATTGTTTGTTTCAAAGAATGGAAAAAATTTCTCATTCATTTCAATAATAATATAAAAATGAATATGGAAAATGAAAACAGTGTAGATTATTAAATAAGATAATGAATAATTATTACATACCAATAATAATTATTATAAACAAAAATAATTTAATAATAAAAGGTTTACTTTTTAAAATATATTAAAAATATGTTTCAATAAAAGATAAATGATTGCAATAAACTGAAAGGTGAAATATAAAAAAAAGTCGTTCGCTCTATATCAAAACGATCCCTTTACATCTCTGAAAAATATGGTTTTTAAATTACTGTCCCGCAAGTCCCTGCTCAATAATATTTTTTAATCTTCATTGCTCCATTTCCCATTTCCGAATCGTTTCGAGCGCGCCATAAATATATGCAGTAAAGTGGTTAAATCTTCGTGGGAATCAAGTATATAGGGTTCACAAAAACCGCAACGCGATTTTTTTTTTTTTTGTCTTTATAACGAGAGAGAACGGAACCGCTTGAATTTGCCTTGTATTGCTCAAGGCGGTTCTATAATTAATATATATATCCTCCCCATTTACAAATACCCGACATCTGCTTGTGACTTGCGAGCCGAACTTGTGCATTCAGAATTATAGAGAGATTCAGGGATTCAGTGCAACAATTATTAGCATATCGAGCGTCAAAGCGCGGGCAAAGGCATTGTTTCACGATGTTAAATATATATATAGATATTTCTATATAGTTAAAGTAGGAGGCATTAGGAGTAATTAAAATCCAATTGACAAGTTTGAGAGAAATTTCTTGTCGCAATGAATAGAGACTTCAATCATAGAAAATAGAACTTGACAAGAACAATAATGAGCGGTGGTGGTGCTTATAAATAGAAGTGCAAGTACTCTATAGACAGAGAGTGGATAGAGAATTCGTCTGTACTTAGAAACAAAAGTTTATTCTTTTTAATAAATAATTTGATTCCAAATAAAGATTTTTTAATGAAATAAAAAATACAACACCACAGATTTTTTAATAAAGAAACAAAAAGAATTTGACTTTTAAATACAAATTTTTAAATTATTTTGAAATGAAATTTAATTGTTTCGAAATTAAATTGTATTTTTTAAATTTTTTCATAAAGAAATTTAATAAAATGAAAAAAATGAAAAGTATACTATTGAATCAACAGCATTTCTTCTAAAAGTATAAAAAATATTGTTTCAAAAGCATACGATATGTAATTTATATCATATTTTTTTGAATTCTGTAGCATATGCTTTTGAGTAAATAATTTTTATGCCTTTGGTGGAAATGTTGTAGATTCAAAAGTATATTTTTCTCAGTGTAATGTTTTTATTTAATAAATGAAAAACTGTTGTTTTATAGTGTCTGGAGAAAGAGGAGAAATCCTAGAGCGTATTAGTACTGCATTCGCTATGGATCTAAACTTAGTATTTCTGGTTCTAAACTATGTATATCCTATGACGAACTGAAAAGCTCATGACCCTTATTCAACACGCACTCCCTTGCAAATCACATGCACGCATCTGTTTTGGCTCGTCGACATGTCTACATAATCAACTTCCTAGTTCACATGTGATTTTGCAGATTCACTTTACAAAAACCTTCTATCCATGAGTATCAAAGAAATGACCCAATTGATTAAAAATATATAAACCAGCCTGCTCGATGTGCCCCATTAGTCAAGTACTCTCATGTCATCGTCGCTTCCTTTCATGAATCCCCGACGATGATACAAAAATATAATTTCACACGGAAAAAAAATATGTACTGCAATTCGGACGTTTATCAATGGGGAGTAGAAAAAAAAGTTTTTTTCAGAATTTTTTTTAAGTCTATAGAATCCTAAAAAAGTAGCATTGATTGTTACTAACTTTATTTAATTAGGACAAGTCAATAATGGTCTATATATATATGTAAAGGACCATTTCCTTTAGACTTTATATAAATAACTGACCTTTTCTTACAAAACTTTATATCATCATTTTAAAATAACATAAAATCTGTTTTTAAAACTTTTAAATATATAAAGAACCTTTACATCTAAAAGATAGTTTTTTTTTCAAAACCTCATATACAAGGAACTTTTTTCAAGAAAAGAAAAAAAACTTTTACAAAGAACCTTTACAAAGGTATATACATCAGTAACATTTCCTTTTTATGTGCTTTCAACATATCGTCGATCTTTGCTTTTTCACAAACCGAAAGTTCGTTTTATTTCAAATTGAGGGGGTTTTAAAAGAATTACGCGTTTTTATTAAAGGCATCGAATGAATTGAGGAAAAAGAATGTGAGAGAAGTTCCGGATCAGAAAAAAAAATATGCGGTCAATTTCAACTAAAGTGAAAGAGAAAGATTGAGAGGGAAACGCAATAAAATATTGCTCCAACTTCAAGTTGAATCAGCTTTCCGTTTCGATATAATTGTCTTATTTCTCCTTTTTTTTTTCTTCTTTCGTGCGAAAGCAGTAAATATAGTATACTTTAATACAGTACGTTTTTATGTTTTTCTTGATGCACTTTTCGTTTGAGTAAGTTACTTTTAGAAACACGATTCTGTTTGCATTTTTAGCACGACTCCTCGCGCGCGCAGTGAAAAAGATTTCGTCTTGTGAGTTTCGCTATTCCCTTAACACTTCTGAATAAAAAAAGTTCTCTTTTTTTTTATATATTATTCTTCAACATAAAATTCTTCACAATCAACATCAATTCAATACTAGAAGGTTCAATTGTCATAAAAAGAAATTGATAATTTTACATAATGAAAAATTTCTCTTTTATAATAATGAAACTAATTTTGTGAAATTAATTTTTAATTCAAGAAATTCGATTATTTGGCACAAGGAAAAAGTATTTTTAAAAAAAGTAAGGAGAAAAAAACGAGACCATAAACATGAAAAAATTAATTAAATAAATCATAGAAAATTAAAATTAATTAAATCCAAATAACTAATTAATTACTTGTTAACAAGCAAGAATGGAGAATGACTCTGATTGAATAGATGTTTGAGGGAAATTATGTTTTGAACAATTCTTGATGGAAGTTAAATTAGTTACCTTATTTTCGCTGACATCGTGTAACGTGAAGGTGGTCTCCCTCCCATTAATTAAAAGATCCAGGGACAGAGTACCATGCGCAGGTGGTGTTAGCAGAGTAAATATAACATTACTTTCCCCGATCCTATATTTGGCAATATCCAGTACCATCGCTATGTTTTCTCTCATCATTGTTACATTACCTCCTTCGAAAACTGACAGAGGGTTGAGATCCAGTAGCCCCAGTCTTTCGGGCAAATTCAAATTTGAATTATCCTGTAATAATAAACAATTTCATTATTAAACTTCTAATATAATTACTGTTTAATAAAATAATATAATTTAATAATTAATATAAAAAACTCAAACAAAAAGAAATTAAATCGAAAAATAAAATAGATCAGAATAAAAAATGTGATTGTAATAAATAAATAAATTTTTTTAATAAATATGCGACTTGTTACTAATTACACTTTCTTAGTTTGAAAATTGATATTTTTGCGCTGTGAAGTATTCTGAGAGAAAGCTTAAACAGGAATTTTATATACACTAAACATCAATGAGATGCAAAGTGTATATATACATTTTAAAAAGATTTTTTAGCCTACATACTTATTTTCCAATTAATTACTCAAGTGCAGATAGTTTTATCGAGAAGCACTTCACTAGCTTTCAAGTTAAAGTTCACTTTCCACCGTAATGTCGGAGAAGTTATAAAAAGGTTTCATGAATCTTTTTTCTTTCTTTTTTTTTTTTTACTGGTTGATTAATAGATCCCGGCTCCTTGTCTTGAATTAAGAACTCGCATTATGTCTGTTTGATTATTCAAGCAAGCAAGAAATCTCCACGGGCATAATATCAAACTAATGAACAAACTTCTCGAACCATATTTACCAAAAATTTTCTGTTTAATTTTCGATTCTTTAAATTTAGTACTTATAAAAAATTTACATTTTTCCTATAATTATTTCTTGCTGTCATCTAATTTATTATATTAATAAATTTTATTTTTCAACTTCATCTTTTTATATCTAAAGAACGTGGTTAATTTAAGCAAATAAAAATAAAAAGATTTTTGATTGTTCTATAAAATCTACGTAAATGTGACCATTTATCTTTGAACATGTATAGTTAGAAAATATATATAGGTCAAATGATATTTCTCTTCAAAATGATTTACAGTGAAAAGTTTTGCTGATAATAACAGAAGACAAAGTTTTTTTTTAAAAAATGAAATTTAGCATTACTTGTTGCAAAAATAGGTCTCAAATAGTTGAATGCACTGTTACATTATAATGAACATGTCAGTTTTGTAAAAAAAGTTTTTTTTTCTAAAACGGATGTTTTTTCAATACAAATAACTGGAACAGAAAAGCTGATAGTGCAATTCATCTTTACGGGATGAAATACGTCAAAAATAGGTTCTGAAAAATTTTTTAACAACCAATTTGTAATAAAAAAAAAACTTGATTTAACGAGTAATGTTTTTTTTTTTTATTATAAATTGGAATACGATACAAATAATTTTTAAAATAAATTTCCCACACAATTTTATTCTCATAAGTGAATGGCGCTATTAGTTTTTCCAAATATTGTAAAAAAAACAATTATTGTACAAATAACTATTAAAGAATTTTTCGTTTTTTCTCTAAATTCAGTTAGGGTATATAATTAGTTATATGTATTTCTATGAAATGGAAATTCTGCCAAATACAGCATTTGGGTAAATATCATGCTGTGTTATGTTGTTTTTCTAGTAAAATTCAATTTCCCTAATTAAGGGAAAATCTAAATACCCTCGTTTGTTTTGCATTAAATATTTAAGAAAACCTTGCTTGTAAAGCAATTTTTAATTAAAACGGTTTTTAAATTTATAAAAACAAAAAAAAATAAGAGAGTAACTCACCTTATAATCTTCTGAAAATGCAGATTTGGTACAAAGTGGCTGATTGCAGTTACATTTAAAAGCAGCAACTCCCAGATGAGAGCAGTTGGCACCAAGTGCACAAGGATCAGAATCAAAACAGGGAAATCCCCAGACGCAACCAGCCAGAATGCCTTGGCTGACCTTCACGTCTGGCAAACCAATTTCCTTGTTATCCAAAAACATGTTTCTTATGCAACCTTTGTAACTCATGTCTCCTGACTTGAGACCTTTGCTGAAAGCACGAGCTCTTTTATTCAGCTCGGTACCACCAATGTACAACGTGTCTGCTAGGTCGAGATATCGATTTCCTCCTGAAGGCAGTGCCATCATTTTCTCTTGCTTGTCGACAGTGATTCCAATCGTGCTAGGACTAAAGTCGACAACTATGCTATGCCATTTACCATCAGATACTATTGTCGAATGTATCAGTTCTGTAGGTCCATTTCCTTTGTTCATCAAAACCCGTATGCGTCTGTCAAGCAACTCAATGCCTAGGTAATCTGCGTATGAAGATTGCCCAGTATTGTACAGCAGCAATCCACTTTCAGCAGCTGTTTTCAATTCGAATTTCCAGCTGAAATTTTTCAACATTTTCAAATATATGAAAAATATTTTTTCTACATATGAAATTCATAATACAAAGAGTGATCAATAATTAATTAAAATTATAATCATCGAAAATTATTGCATGTAACGAAATATTATTTTTTCATTAAAAAGAAAAACCTCTCTGATTTATTTCTATACGGAAATAAAAGTTAATCGCAATTTAGTATTAACGAATGCATGACTATAAAAAGTATATAAACTTTTCTCATTTTTTTCATGGGATTTAATAAGAAACACTTCATTCCATTCGCTTGGAAAAAAACTGCATAAGTAACAGTAATCTCAACTTTTAGATAGAGAAATCCTCTTGAATTTTTACTTTACACTTTCTTTTCGAATATAACGATGCAGAATAAAAAATATATTTATTTAAAAATTAAAATCTGTAAAATAGGAAAAACACTATATTTTCTAAATCTCATTCGTTTTTTAATTTCTCAGAACTTTATAATAAAAAACTGAGGGGAATATTTTGAAGTGAATAAAATCCAAGAGCCAATGTAAGCATGAGAAACTACAGTTGAAAGATCAAAGTACTGATGTATGTTGTTCGTAAATGGTATTATTGTTAATATTTACCTCGATCCAGAACGAGGAATTGGCTTTGGTATTGCTATAAACGATCCGTCCTCAACGAAACTGATATTTGTTCTCCAAGTAGCATCGAATTCCGGAGAACATCCCCAAGTGACTGCTGTTGGCTCTGATTGGTTCTTTCGCAAACGAGCGTATTCTATTACTTTAGCTCCGTTATAAACTATATCCGCCATGCAACCTCTCAAGTATTCCATGTGACCTACACACAACATAGAGGAATTCAAATTAATTATCCCATCACAAAGAGAGAGGGAGAGAGAGAGGGAGAGAGTGACCAATTATAGAATTTTAATTGCAAATTGGAAATTTCATTAAAACTTTTAAACAATACAAGCACATTCATTATCAAAATTTTAAAGTAATTTTAAATTTAATCAGATGTCAAAATTTTTAATCAAAATATCGATTTTAAACCTATAGTAAATTATTAATCATAATGTATTATTTGAAGATTATAAATTTTACACACTTTTTAATTAAATGAAATTTTTTATAAAAATTCAAACAAAGTTTCTCTAAAAAAATGAGTTCTACAATAGTGATTTTAACTTTTACACATGAATAAATATATATGTTTATTCGAAAACATAACTTTTGGTAATGCATCGCAAGATGACAAATGGAACTGCCTTGTTAGCAGAATGTCGTATATTGTCTTTCTATATTACCAACAAAGTTTTGTTCTACTCCTCTGAAACAATATTCCGGTTGAGAAGTTTGTAAGGCAAGATCTCAAGTGGTTAGCCAAATAATTTTGAATTTCTCGCTTATATATAGATACATATTGTCATTATAATTTACTAAAGGTAATAAAAATAATATTTTAAAAACATTCTATTTAATTTTTTACCTAACCAATAGACATTGCATTTATTTACACCCAGAGAAAAGATATATTTGTTTCAGAGACAAATAAATTTTATTTAATTGAAATAAAAATTTTATTAGACTTGGAAACAAATATATTTTTATTTGATTCAAATAAATTTTATTTGTCTTTGTCTGTTGGATTAATATGAGTATTATATTACCAATTCATATTAAATAATTATTGTGCGAATATTTCAATAATAATTTTGTATCTCCTTTATAAATTAACCAAAATTATTTAACACACTTTTTTCACTTCTCTGAAAGGTTTGAATATCAATTTAACAATGTTATGCGCTAATTAAATAGTATGTAATTGTACATAATGTGAAATAATACTATATATATATTATAATCTGTAACAATTAAAATTACAATTTAACATTTATGACATTGGTCATGTATGATTTTGTATATTATATTATTTTACATTTTATCAAAGCGAACCGCATTATTATTTTTTTTTTTGGAAAGAGGATAAGAAATTGTCGCATAATCTTCTCTTTATAATAGTAGTTTGGAATTATTTAGGACGAATAAGAATTTCAAAACCCATATCACACTGTTTCGCGCTACTGCGGTAAACAAATGAATTTTCGTGAATATGTAAATTGGATTTTAGGATGGCCTTTGAATTCAACAAAACCTAGAGACACACACAGTTTATTCTCATCTCATTCTCCTTTATCTTTTTCAAGTTGAAATAATCCGGGCAAAAATCCTTAATACTTCTAAATTTCATAAATTTATAACTTTAAATTGTCAATTATTATTAGAATTTACGTATATATTAATATTATAATTATTATACTTTTATTAATATAATACTTGTGATTTTATTTTCAGTAGTAAAAGAAAATTTTATTCCAACAAAACTTCTTATAATTTAGCGTAAGTAGTAAAAGGAAATTTTAGTCAGACAAACATGTGATTGAAATGACGTTACATTTAATATATTACATTTTGATAAAATTAATTTTACGTAACCTTTTATATTTAACATCCTCTACTTTATGTAAGAAATCGTGTAATTATATAACTAACTTCTCCTTTCCACCCATAGATGCTTACGTAATAATACTGTAAACATTTCTCTAATAATAAATTCATATTTTTTAATAATGAACGTAAAAAAAAACTTCTTTTTTAATTTCGCATTAAAATAATATTGTTTTTATAGGCTATTCATTATATCAATCAAGAATTTAATATACCATAAATAAACGCACTAATTTCTCTGAATAATATACAGATGAGTAAAATGAATTTTCTCCAAATTGAGTATTATCTACTAATTTGGGAAAATTACTAGGCATTTCAGTGAATAAATTTGTATGTAAAGTATGGTGTAAAGCATGTAAATTTGTAAACCCTAAACACGGGAAAACCAACTTCACGTCAGTGATGTCCCCGTGGATTCATGTCACGTCATATCGTGGCGCGCGGATTCGAGATCCCAATATTTACCTCGAGGGAATGGAATTCACTTGTTAGGTACACTTTTTATATATGCGTTTTATCTGATTCACGGAATTTTTCACGTCTAAGTATTTTTAACAGGAGAAAAAAAATGATATTTACCCTGTGATTACTCAAGGAGAGAAATATTATTTTTATATATATTTTTTTAAATTAATTCTGAAAAATTATTCTTTTTCGTTATTTATTTAAAGCAAAAAAAGAAATATTATTTTTTTCCTTTATATGCGGGAAAAAAAAATTTTCTTTCTTACAAAGAGATGTATTTTTAATGAGGAGAATTTTTCTTTTATTAAAAGAAACGAGTATTTTTTTTCCTCCCCAAAAAAATGTTATTGAAAATTTGATAGACAATAATATCTATTGATACTAATTTATTTTTTATAATAAATGATAATTATAGTTTTTTTTTCTTTCATTAACATTTTCTTTTATTGTTATATATAAATATGAAAAATTTATAAAAACTTACCAAGAAATAATTCGTTGAAATCTCCTCTTCCACCGATGAACACACCGTAATGAATATTTAACTCAAAAAAATTCCCCTTCAGCAAAAATTCAGTGTTATGTATTACGTCAATTTGCAAAGTAATTTTTCCCTCTCGCCTTGTCAAGTTGATCTCGTGCCAGTTGTTATCATTAAGAGTCAGACGTTGGGCACTAGGTATTTCGCTCTCTCCTGCGCCCAAATTAATGTGAACCTTAAAAAACAAAAAAAAAAAAGAAAGATAAGTGAAGTTTTTAATTAATAAAAAGCGAAATCTTTCTCGGTAATCTGTGTGGATTTGTCAACTGCCGATTGCATAAGAGATAGTAAAGCTCCAGCGAATGCATCTTTTGCTTCTCTTCCATTTTAATTAGTCACTGACTTTTAGAAGATTTTCCACGGAATTCTGAATCATAATTACCTTATCTAAGCTGATGCTTTTATGGTATAAATTGGTCTAGTTATTTCATTCTGCTGTATAACTAATTAAGCTCTCGAAATATAGCACAACAAATATATATATATATATATATACATAATAAAATCCAAGTTAAATTTAAAAATTTATAAACAAATTTTGTAATAAATTAATTTACTGAAATTTTTTTAATTTAACAAATAAAATTCCTCTAATTTATTCAAATATTTTTTATTTAAATAAAAATTGATTATACGATAGGCAAAATTTTTTTTCGCAAAATAGAACATTAAAAAATAAATTTTATAAAAAAAATGAGTTTTTTGTAAAAAAAGTTTTACACAATTTCTCCGAAACAAATTACACGGGACAGACATAAACGGGGATTTTTTGTAACACGATAGAAATTGCGAAAGCGATAAAAAAAAAAAAAAAAAAATGTTGAGAAACGTTCAATGACTATGCAAAATCTGTCAATGTGATCGATACAGAGTGTCTGTCAAAGAGTATAAAGCATATATAAATTTTCTCTCTCCAGAAATATGCAAATGGAGCGATCTTGTATATGGTAAATGATATAATTTTATTTAAAATTTATATTGGCGAAAAATAAAGAATTACTAAATTGTATATATATATGTATAAAATTCAAAGTTTCTCTAAGAGGTTTTTACGATTTCCACTCATTGAAGAGCTATACGTTCTGCAGAACTTTATTAAGTTTAGACTCTGCGCAATGCCCCAAGCAAAAGAAAATTGAACATTACGTGCGGTTCTCATTTCTTCAGTTACTTTAAAAGAAATTTAAAGGACTTTTCAAGAATTCATATAATCAAATCACACTTATATTTGCAAGAAAGTAACATTTATATGAATTTTTTACCCCAAAGCAAAACAATCAACTTTTTGTTTTATATAAAAAAAAAAACAAAGGTAATGAGAGAAATTTTATTTCTATTTCACACAAACTTTATAATTTTTAAAAATGCTTCTTTTATATTCCATTTTCATGAAAAAAAAAAAGTTTTTTTTAGAAAGATGAAATTTTTATTTTTCGAAATATTATTTGGAACAATAAACACCATTTGTTTTTGATTGTTCTGGAAATACATAAGGTATGATAATAAAAAAAAATAATACATAAAGTTTTGTAAAATATTGCCCTTCTGACGTTTATAGTCTCAAGTGAGTCATTTTCCAACAAAAGGTACCTTGAGATAACAATTTAATTTAGTCTATATGAAATTCATTTGTTTCGTGAGCACACCCTTTTTTTTGGCGCGCGCGCGCGCACTTATTACAATTATACAACAAACGCAAACCCATAAAAACCAAGGATCTGGAAATTGTACTGCAACAGCAGTTCCTCTCGATTTACCCGCGTGTAATATTAAAAGATGTAGCAGAGCATCGTCAACATTCCAATGAGTTCAAGATTAAATTATATCTCTTCATTTTAATTTGCTCGGCAAATTGAATTAGTTACTCCCATTTTCTCCATCTACTTTATTAAGAAGGCCTTCAAGTCTCATTATTATTATTTTTTTAATTTTATAAAACGAACTATTTCAATTTCGGAAATAACTTTACTTTTTTAAATTTTCGGGACGCTTGAATTTTCTCCACATTAAACTTGTTGGAATTTTTGTGGTTTATAATTAAAAATGCAATAATATTTAATTCGCAAAAAATTCGAAAGGTTTTATTGATGCATCGAAAATTTTCAAAAAAAAATTTGACATTAGCAACTCATTCTTTTTCATGTATTTAATAATTCTTTTCGTATACCGTGAAAATTGTTCAAGTCAAAATTGTTTTTGAAGGATATTTTTGAAAAGTTGATAATGTCGAGCAATTTTTTGCGCTGAATAACAAAGGGAATGAGGCGAAAACTGAGCGCCAGATCTTAATTCGTTGCGGCAGCTGTGTCGAGCGAAAAGTTAGAATTGAAGCGTGTTAAGGAGGATGGTTTCTATAAATAGAGAGAAATAAGAAGTGAAACGAACCTTTAATCTGCCAGCCTCAAGTTTGATTAAACAATAATCTGTCTTTCCAGCAGCTAATAGTATCATCGCGTCCGACAGGTGTGTTCTAAATCGGAAGCTAATGTCAGTCGCACCTTTTGCTTCTTGCACCGGTAAATGGATGTAACTCGCTCCATAAAACGATACTGCAAACAGAAAATAATTATGTAATTAATAAATAGAAAAAATATATTTTTATCACAAAAAACATTTTATCGCACATTTCATTTTTTTCTATAATGACATATTTTTATTAAATAATGATAAATAATAACAATTTATAAATTAAAATGAAATTTCAAAAATGAAGTTAAAAATAAACTAATGATCACTATAAAAATGTAATTTGAATTTAAAAATAGCTCATACATCTCAGCTAATTGTATTTATGCGCGTATAAGTTGCAATTAACGTGATAAAAGTTTATGATCGCAGAATCTCCATTAAAACGCTATGCATACAATGCACTTGCTATAAATTCACTAACTCCCTCATATTATTAATCTTGCATCGTGCTAATAAATATGTCCGTCATTCTTTTCACGTTCTATACAACGTCAAGTTGTTTCATGTGAGTCATCTTTGAACCTAACATAAATCAGATACTTTTAGAAAGAAAAAAAAAAAAAAAAAATTCAAAGAATATTTTTCAAATTTTTCAAAAATTTGTATAATCAAAATTTTATTTTAAAAAAATTATTTATATTTCTATATTTAATATATTATTTCACATTTTACTGAATTAAAGCTTTATAAATTATGAGAGAATGGGTCAGTAAAGCTTAATAATAAACTATTTACTTCCATTAAAATAACATGAAAGTTTTATACTAATTTAAACAACTGTGAAATTCACATTATATAATTTATTTTCAATTTGAATTAACAGGCTCTGACATTCATTAATTAAAATGGAACACCAGCGAAAAATTAATAGTACTTAATTGAAACTATTTCCTCATTAATCTTTGCGTATATGAACTTTTAATTTAAAAAGTTTCGAAAATGTCAGAAAATTTTAGATACGCGGGTACCCTACAAGAAGTGAAAAGTAGTTGAGAGAAATTTTCAAATAAAAGTAATAAAAATATGATTAAGAAAAATAAAACTAAAATATAAAGTCATATATATATATATTATAAGTTATAGACAAGTTGATTTAAGTTTCAAAATTCTTGAAGTAAATTGGAATAAGCCCTAAAAAGTTGAAGCAAACTATAATTAAATTATTGTACTATCATATTGTTGTAAAATAATTTTTTCAGGATAATTTGAATAGATAATTTTATTATACTACGTCACAACACGTTTTATCCAGAATATCTTGAAAAAATTATTTTACTATTATTACTGGTTGAAAAAACTTCAAGTAAATATTATACAAAAAAATAATTATCACATAAAATGATTCAACATATTATATAGAAAAAAAGACATAAATACACCCTATGTAATTTCAGAGGAGACCCTCCATCAACATAGTCATCATTAAACTCAGAAACTCATAAAGCAGTTCTAGAGATGAGTTTATTTATATTCTATTTAGTAAGTGATCTAAGAACATTTTCAAATCAGTATATAAACGGTATAACCGCATTCGAACCATTAAATCTACAAAATCTCTCTCTCGTTTCCCTTGTTGAGGGGGAAAAAGTGATTAAAAGAAAGAAACATATGTCGCTCTTACATCCCGCGATTTCTTTTAATAGGAATTTTCTTTTCGAAAAAGAAAATAGTAAAAAAAAAGAAGTAAGTGAAAAATATCATTGTCACTTTAGATGGGGTCTGTGTAATGCTTGCTTTTTGCCACTTCAGTGCACTCGAGTTTCGCGAATTTACTATCGCAGGAGTTATATGGTGCAGTATCGTAAAATCATAAAATTCCTGTGAACACGACCAATCGTTTTCATGAATCCAAACGATTTAAATGACTCTATTGCGCCGACAGATACAATACAATAATCAAAATAATTTTCAATGCGTATTTTTTTTTCTTTTTCTCTTTAATTTGGAATGTAGCAACATTTTTTTTAACATCAAACTTAATATTTCAAACCAAAATTCGTACAAATAGCGCCTCGAAAATATTTGCCATAACATTTAAAAACATATTTTTGAAAAATATAAATTTGCATATTTTTTTTAAGACCATTCTCTTATATATATTTAACTTAAATTTATTCTCTTATTCACATGAATACATTCATTTTTCAATTTAAATTCTTTTTCATCCTTTAAAACCCTTTTTTATTTATTTATTTTTTTAAATTCTTCTTTTTAAAGTCTTTCATTGTTTATAATATTTTTTAAAAAAGTTCCTTCTCTCTTAAGATGAAAATTTTCTGGATTATAAAAGAAAAAAAAACGAAAGAATTAAAAAAAAAATATTGTTAAAATAAATGTTTTCCAATTAAAAGAGTTTGTTCCAGTTTTTCGATAAATAAACATTGCAAACTTTGAGTTTAAAATTGAAAATTAATCTTTAATTTACAGTGAAGAATATTATATTACACATCAAATTTTTTTTTTTAAAAACATGTATTTTACATATATATTTTTTTATTATTAATTAAATAAAATTTTTATTTTATTTTTTTTTAAATAATTTAATTAAACCTTCAATTTTTTGTTTAATATACATTTTTCACTGCAAAAATAAACGTGGGTTCTGAGAATAAGATGAAAAAATAAAATCTTTTCATCTTTAAATAAGAGATGTTTGAAGAGTTCAAATTTTGATAAATAAAAACGACTTTGTAAAAATATTTAGAACGTCATTTTAAATTTGATGTATGTTTATGTCACCATTTTCAATTCAAAGAAAATTTCTTACAAGACGAAATCGTTTAGAAGAGAAGAGGGCAAAATAACATGAGAGGGATACATTTTCCTTGAGAAATACACTTGAAGGGTCCTTAAAAAGCAGCAAAAAAAAAAAGGGTAATTTTTATGTGTTCCATATCACTGCCCTAAGAACTTTGACATAAATAGGTCAGGGAAAGTAGTCCTTATAAATTAAAACCGAAACACTAGGGTGGAAAAGAAGGAGAGGTAAAAATCTCGGCTATGCCCTGAAGAAATATAATATATACGAGGCCTCCACCACTCCATCCCTTTTCCTCTTCATACTACTGTATTTTTTTTCTTTTTTTTAAATTTTTTACCCCAAAGTCTTGTACCTTTTTGCATTGTTCAACACAAAAATAATAACATTTTTCTTAAATTAAAAAATATTCTTTGAAAAGAAAAATAATATATCTTTTTCTATTTAAACAAATTTTAATTATTTTTTAAGTGAATTTAATGCCTTAATTAAAAAGAATCGATATTGTCTTTGGTTGTTGATTATATAAAATACATATAGTGAAATTTAGTTTTCAGAATACTCATCAGAAAACAGTGGGTATTTAGAAGAATGATGGGATGGAGCTTTTCGACGATTTGCAAAGCAAATTTAAATCAGGGGAGATTCTCTCTCGTTCATAGCTTTCAAGATGAATTTATAGGGATCAAGGGAGAAAAATAGATGGTATCTTTTTCTCATATAAGCAAAATATTTATTATTCTGCATATATATATATTAGTTTCCTAATAAGTACGAGTTTTTACAGTCGATAATTTTGTGGCGTTAGTCACTGAGGTATATAAATGTGTAAACCCTTTGAAAAAAACAAGAGCGAGGGAAGGAAAGTTTCAAGTTTCATTTGCCCTTTCGAGCCACAGAAAGAAGAATATTTTCACAGCTCTTGGTACAATTTCAAGAGAGAAAGTTAATGTCCTATAACCGAAAGGCGAAACTTTTCTGAAACTCCTATGCTATAGTAGTATGAATGAAAAGAGAGTGAATCAAACTTTTTTTTTCCGCGTAAAAGATTACTGGATGTATAAAAGAATTAACTACCCATTTTCCGGGAGTTTAAGTATAATAATAATTAATTACATACCTAATGTTTTTTTTTTCGAGAAATTACAAGAAAAGCTTTCGACATTATTAAAATATTTCATCTCGAGTATTTATTCTAAATTAGCAATTACTTTATTGTTTGAAACGTAAAGCAGAGCTCAGTTTCATGGAGCATAACAATAGATTACTAATTTATAAAACCACGATTCAAACACAGAGTCCATTAATAGCATTGTAATTACTGCAATTAGTTCACTTGTTTAACTAACCACACTGTATGCATTTTTATTTTCATATTATTATGTTTCTCAATAGATATAACTGTTTAGATATTATTGTTCAAAATTCTATTGTTATAAACCTAATATTCTCTGTATTATCATTTTCTAAATTATACAAAGATATGTATAATAAATTTTAAAAACATCATTACGAAATGAGAATGATTAATTATTAAATCATATATAATATAAAATGTATAAAAAAAAACATAAAATATATATAGGAAACATTTAAAAATTATTCATAAAAAATATGTGTTATTAATTATCATTTACATATAAAATGAACGGATTTTTCAATTTTTCATACATAAATTATATGCCAATAAAAATATTATAGGTATGATTTTTCACTACCCAATTAATTATTTTTATATTGTAAATATTTAATTTAGATTAAAAATTTTGAGCTATATGTCTCAATGTAAAAAATATACTCTTAATACGAGTAAAAAAAAACATTTTTTTATAGTTATAACAAAAAAAAAAAAACTCGAGATTCGACAAGCGACTATTTTTTTTCAGAAGATATGAAAAACAAAAAGTCTGATCTACATTCAAAGGGCAAAAACTTTGAAATTCTTAAGCTATGTGCATGACTTATGGGTTATACCTTACCTTTTTCATCTGTTTGGCAGTAACCCAAGAGGGAGGCCGCGAGTGCTAAGAACATTAACGGTCCCATGTCGTTGAGAAACATTAGAGTTACTTCTCTATATAGCTCTCTCTCTCTCCCTCTCTTTCCTATTCCTTCTTGAAACGAAAAGTTTTTTAAAAAGATAAACGACACTTCGACTGAACAATTCTGGTTATTGATTCTTTTCAATTTTACCGCACGTTCTATTAATATATGTCAATAATCGCACACTTTCAAAACATTAAATAAGCCGACACAGTAAGAAGAAAAAAAAACATTCCTTCACTTTTTTTTTTTTGGCAACCAGAGTAATAATTTCCTAAGGGTTAAAATATACGATTCGTGTTGATGTAGACGATTAAATTTCAGCAAATCCGTACCAACAATTCTATTCACCACATACAGGAAACGGTCGATGTTTCACTTGGCCATTCCAATTTTAATAGGCAAGAATTTCATTCGTGTTATCTGCGCCTCGAATTTAACGACTTATACAAAAAATTCAGAATATTGCATTTTATTCAGAAAAATATTGTATTTCACTAATTAATGAACTTTTTTTTTTTTTGCTGCTATGCAATTATTGAACCTCTTTTAACTATAATCACGATGGAAAAATGTTTGTAGCACTTCCGATAATGTTCTGAGGTTCGAGTTGGATGCTTGATAGACATTATGCACAATGAATCTTTTAGTTTTTCGTTAAAACTGACAGATTACCTAAAAATAAAGTGAGCTTTTGGTTAAAAAAAAAAAAAGAAAACATGTTTCCAAGCACTTCTTTACCATCCTCTCGTTTACTCTCTTTCTTTGTTTCTTTGCATCTCAGTCTACCAGTTGTACTTTTCTTTTCAATCTCTCTTTTTCTCCCCCCCTAAAAAAAAATACCCCGATTGTCTTTTACTTTTTCGAGACTTTGTCTAATGAAAATACTTCCACTATGTATACATATACTAAGTAAATTTACTTCAGGCCTTTAGTACCCACGTTAAACATGAAAATACTCCCATGCAAAATTTATACATTCTATTCTAAATCTAAATAGAAAGAAAACGACAGACATAAAAGAGAAAAATTAAAAAGCGGTACACCACTCGGAAAAGAGGAATTTCATTTTCTTTAACAACGAAATGGAAAAATGTTTTTCCAGACCAAACAATGCTCCAAACAGACAAAACACAATGTTTCTCTAGACCAAATAATGCTTCTCTAGACAAAATAATGTTTTTTCAAGACAAAACGATACTATATACTGCGATCAAAATAATGTCTCTACTATAACAAAAAGGGAATTTTATGCAGAATAAGTTCTTCAACTTAAAAGAAATTTTCAAATCGAAATAATAGAAAAATAAAAATTTTTTTCAATTATTTTATAAATCCATTAAAATATACTGAAAAAAATTTATTTTAAATCATTTTACATTTTTTTCAGTAGTGTAATTTCATCAATCTTTAGATTAAAAAAATTTTATTTTCCCCCTTAATTTTTCATCGCTTATGTTAGAACAAGATTCAATTATATTCATATCAAAGTAATTTATGGTGGGCTTTAAGCAACTTGAACTAAAAGCTGTTTACCTATGAGATTTTCTGGTTGACTGTGATTCGCTTCCATACCCCGAAAGTTTTCAGACCAAATTTAACTAGGTAGAACTAACATTGTGGATATATCAAACAATTCTTTGTTATTATTTTTAACTCTCTCTCTATTTTTTTTATCCGTAATGAATTAAAATTACAAATATAAAATTCAAAAGATTATTCATTAAATTTCATTTTTTACTTTACGATTTATTTTTCGAAAGTCTCTAATTACAATGTGCAAACATATATAAATTTTGACTTTAAAAATATAGTATTTCGATAAAAACATAAATCATACAAGGGATATCAGAATGTAATAAAATTTCGAAATTTTACATGATATTTTATGTTCGAATAATGTGTGACAACAATTTAATACTTGATTTCTATAAAATTTAAAAAAAAAAAAGAACAAAAATTTCATCACTTTGAATTTTATATTTTAATAAAGTTCGTTTTGGAATTTTATTGTCAGTAGAGTAAAATAAAGAAAGTTTAATAAGAAAACCGTGAGCTATGTTAAATATTTACTTTTTTTATAAATAAATATTATAATTTAAAGTTGAGTAAATTTTACTTTATATATTTTAACGAAAAGCAAATGATTGACAAAGATTGTTAAACGACGTTTTTATCATCTTCGTCTGTGGAGTTACAGAACAAATATCATATCTAATAAGTTTTCTTCAAGAATTGTCCTCCAGGGAGGAGGAAGAATAAAACAAGCCCAATTTCTAACCAATGTTAACTATCCCTTGAGAATGACTCGTCGTTTCTAAGGGATTACGATATACTGCCAACAAAATAATATCGAAATTACACGTTCATAATCATGTTTGAATTTAGAGAATATATTGCAAAAAATAAATTTTCCAAAATATAATAAACAATTTATAGAAAAATAGTTAAATAAAAATGGTTTTATACTTCAATTTTAGTATAGCGGTTATACATTAAATATATCAGATAAATCACTAAAATGATTGTGAGATGTCAATTAAAAGAATCATTTATATAAAATAACAAGATAGTTTAGCCGATTTCTAGGAGCTTTAAAGTGATTTCTAATAAACGAAAGCCACGAAAAGCTTTTCTTTAGAGCTCTTTTAATCAATTGAAAACGAGACTCGTCTAAAAGGAACGTTTGATCAATCGGTGAATTTAATCACGTAAACAGTGTCGAAGTCAATTTACTTTGAACCGCTTACGAGAAATTCACGAAATCTTCACACCTCACTAAAGAAACGATTTAATTCTTTATTTATATATAAATACTCTCGTTGAAAAATATATGTTTATTACAACTATTAATTTAATATAATATGAATTATATCGAAAAATTTTAAATAATTCATTTTTATATATAAATTTCAATAAAAAAATATTTCTTTGTAAACATATATATGAAAGTGCAATCAAACTGCATTTCAGAGATAAAAAATTTCGTTTACTGTTGAAAAAAAATCTCTGTAAATAATATCCTTGTATATATACTAAAAAGAAGTTGATTATATTAAAAAAAAATATTGATTTTTAATATGAATACTATAAATTTATTTATCCAATATAAAGCCACAATCTCGACCATATAAACAAAGAAGAATCAACTATATTCAAACATATTTTTATATACAATTTTTTTCCTAAAATATTTCAATCAAGTAGAAAGTTCATGAAACTAATATTTCATACTAAAAATATAACTTTAAAAAGTAGTATGCAAGAAAGTTTTCATACAAAAGCAATATATGTTATGAGTTTCATGTATAGTTTTTTTTTTTTTTTTTATATCAAAAATTTATTTATACTTTTGTGCACGTTTTGCAAACAAAAGTTTACACTTGTATTTTAGGTATCGAAATTTTTATCAACGAAATTGCGGTTTGATTTTTAAAATTATGATTTTGACTAAAAAGAAAAAAATAAAAAAAATCTTGTTATTTGCCTTGAATATGAGAAATCTGTTTTCAATTAAAAAATCGTTAAATAAAAAGAAAAACATGTTTCACTGAAATAAAATTCAATTTGTCTTTCTTTTTAATCGTGTGCGGTAAATTACTATTCTCTCTTTTTTTTTTTTGAAATGCGGGAATTGTTTGAAAATCTCCTATACAAATGACAACAAAAGCATACAGAAATCCACTTGGTCATATTATCCGAAACCACACAAGTGTTCATTCAAAATCTACAAATTAATAGGAAGGCAATCAAATCAATTAGATTAATTATAGCCAAAGTGACTATAGTATCTGTATCTATATATATATATATATTCTATACTGTCATGCTATACTCTAATGATTATGTGAATTCGAAAGCAGAATTTACAGTCTACGGATGCAATCTCAGTGGGAAATAGGTGGATTAAACGCGCCAAAATTTGCATCCGTAGGCCGTGACCGTTCATCTAACCGGTGAGGATTCGTGGATCCGTGTAATGGCTCACGTAGGCGAACCCTTGCATGCGGTTGAAATTTAAACCAACCAACCACCCACCAGCCACCCTATAACAACCATAGTTAAACCTTTCAAAGGACAGTGTTGAGATACCAAAAAGCAACCTTTTGTATATAGAAAAAAAAAAAAGAAAAACGAGAATTCAACAAAGAAAGAAAAGAACGAGGAAGTTATATACATTCCGGATATCCTAAAAAATTCTATTATATTCCAGTCCCGCTGTAGTAACACCGTCTTGACACTGAATTTAAGATGCGTCATTAAAAAAAATGTCCCCTAAGAAACCTCAATTTTACAACCGAGATTTACTAACTAGCAAAACAATTTTTTCCCAGACTTTTTTTTTACTTTTTATTTTATTCTTGATATTTATAAATGTGTTGAATAAAAATGTTGTATTTAATTAATTAATAATAATTTTCTGAATATGAATTATTTGGAATTTAATAATCAAATGAGAAATTATTCATTGATTGAATTAGGTGTACTAGTGAACATTTCTATTGCGAATTAGTTAGATTAGTTTCATCTGTGATATTATTTAATATCGTTTTAAATGTATATATGATTAAATTAAAAATTAGTTTCAAATTAAATAAAAATGCAGAAAAATTATTATAACTTTAAGCTTCATCATTTTAGATAAATATTTGTCTATTCCAGTATAAATCCAGGATAAATAAAATAAATATAAAAAATCAGATAAAAATAAATTTAAATTAATTATAAATTTTTAAAAATCACAAGTTGAATTGAAAATATTTTAAATTACCAAAAATCAACTGATTTGCTATCAAATATTGATAATTTGCAATTGTGAAAGTTATTACCGATAGTAATTGTTAGTATTTAATTACTTAATTAGAGTGGAAATTCGTTAATCAATTAACGTTTACTAATAATCAATAAGCTCATTTAATCTGAATTAAAGGAAAGTTATAATCTAATTGAAATTACTCTCTAAATCTGAATTAGTAAAAATGTTCACTAATTCCAATATTAGTAACTCACTTTTTGCTTCTCAATTAGTAAAATTTTACTAATTATTAGTAACTTTTAACTAATTCTAAAGCAAAAAGTGAGTCACTAATTTAAATTAGTAAACATTTTTACTAATTCAGATTTAGAGAGTAGTGAAATTATTTTTACTAATTATTTAAATTTCGCACTGATTAGTTAAATTACTATTTCAAATTGTGTTATCTCTTTAGACTAATTGACTAAATAATTACTACTAATATAAGTATTAGCAACTATTGATCATAAATTTTTGAGTATTATAATTAGCAAAACATGATAACAAAATTAACAGTTTTATATTCAACGATTAGTGGAATTTTTTCATTATTATTTATAGTACACTGCAAAAAGAAATATCTTATTTTAAGATATTTTGGTTGCGTTTTTAAGACATTAAGATGTTTAAGATATCTTGATGTCTTGAAAACACTACTAAAACATCTTAAAATAAGATACTTCTTTTTGCACTGTAATAGACATGAAACTAGAATTCTAATTCAATCATACAGTTTAATTTTAATTTAAGAGGTTAAGGGGATTTTGACTTTTATATACTTTTTAATACAGTTACAGAGAATTTTAAAATAAATTAATTGAACATAGTTTGATATTTTACTATATCTCATATAATATTTAGTCAGTTAAAATTGTCACTTAAATTTCATTTAATAAAAATCTTGCTCAACGATTGGCTTTTGAAAAATGTGAAAGATTAAAATTTTTTTCTCAATTTTACACCAGGTGAAAATGTATTTTTTTGACATTTCATTTTATTTTCAAAACCATCAGAAACATTTTAATTGCATTTTCGTCCAATCGATTGACGTTACGTTAATAAAATATCGCAATTTAGTAAAAAGAAATTTCACGAATATATATCCAAATACATATGTTCCACAGTTTATTAATTAATTATACATATAAATTGCGAATGGATCATTTATTTAAATCATTTATGTGTTTCCATTGAATGATGGTTCTACACAGTGCGCGTATTAGCTAATTGTTCATTTTCAACTATAAATATATTCATTAGTATTATCAATTTATAATAAATATTTTACCATGCATATTTCAATTAAGGATTATTTTTAGTTTTGTAGTTTAGATAAAAAATAAAATTTTATATTTATTTTTAAAAAAATGTACAACAATATTTAAGATTTAATTTAAAACAGGCTGTTTCACTTGATAAAAAAAAAGTTTAAGTATGCGTTTGTAATAAAACTTTTCTCAAAGTAATGCTAAATTAATTTTTTTTAATTTGCTACTTTTCAAGCCAATCGTTAAAATTTTAAAATAATTCACATAATTTAAACTTTTTGTTAAATTTTTTCTGAAATTCTCAAATGATTTTTATTCAAAATTGAATTAATCTCAAAAATTTCACGACAATCTAACAAACCCAACCTTTTTTCTCTATCCCTTACGTTGTCAAATTCACAAAAAACTACCATATTTTATAGATTGCTGGAGTAAAAAATTCCGAATGAATTTTCTTTTTCCATCACATTGAAATATAGGTATAAGGCACTTAATTCTTTTTTGTGATAAAAAAAAAAGATTCATTCAGCAATTTTTACATTCTCTTCATATATGAGATGATTCTTTATCTTTTTTTTGAAAAACCGTTAATTACTATATACGACTATTATGTGACTAAATATGTCAAACACTACTATTCTTTTTTGATTGCAATAATTAACATCATTCTGTAAATAACAGTAATTTTTTTTTCGCTAACATATTCTTTTTTAAAATTTTCGACATTAATCATAAAAAAAAATTCGCATATATTTTTTGATGAAAACTTATGTAAGATAAAATATATTGCCAGAAACTGATTCCTATTCTAACCATCGTCTTTTGAAATACCACTATGTATTCTCTAATCCCATAACATGTCCGCCCTCTCTCACTTCTCTTATATATCTCTTTGGGATATCAGAACATTCTCGGGGGCGGATTTATATTATAAGAAAAGGGAGATGGAATTTCCAGATCTACGAAAATTGGTGAAAAGATGTTTGTAAAAGAAGACACTGGTTTTTCCCCTTTTTTTGTGGATCAACGTATACATGAATATGTTGCAAGCACGTGATTATATCGCGCGTTATCGACCGTGTCGGACCGGCTTTCCTTTGCCAGCAGGAGAGATAGATAGAAGGGTAGACACGCGACCATGCGGACCATCCAGGCTCCACAAAAATTTTTTTTCGCGCACAAATTTATCACCAAATTACTTTCAACCAAAAGATATATATATATATGTATTTCAAATTTATAAACATATATTCTTTTTAGAGAATAAAATACCATATTCACTATACTGTATTTGGTCCAAGCACACAGGAGCTTTTTATAACTCGCGACACGAGAGAAAGAGAGAGAGACAGAGCGCTTTACACTCGTTCCTCAACTTTCGTCTGTCGCACGACTACTGGAATCTTTGGGGTAGACAGGGAGGCTGCGCGCAGGACCATTCCCGGCAACTCCTCGCTCCCCAGGTCCACGGCCATCGTATATAGAGTCTCTCTTCACCGACAAACTCTCATGCAAAGAAATTTCTTGGTGTGTGTTCCGCCTTCACACGTTTTATCTCTTTTTATCTTTTTCTCTCTCACTATTTCCCTCCACTGTGTTTAAATATATATCTATATATCCCAAACCTCTTATTCTCCCTTCTGTTGAAGGATTTCATTGGATACTCACTTTTTTTTTACCTTATATTAGTTATTATTATTAATTTTATTTGCTTACATACACCCTCTCACACCGCAGTTGTTCGCAACTTCTCATTTACTCAAAAGGATTTATTGAAGCATTTCATATGTTTTTAATCATGATAATGATGATAGAATTTGAGATATGAGTATATAAAAACACGAGAGTCGTTCAACATAACTACATATATGAGAGGTAAACTGAAATGACTACTTTCGTAAGGAAATTTAAAAACAAATTACAAGTTTAAAAAAAAAATAAATTTTCACCGTTATTATTCAATTATTATTCATCATCTCTAATTTCTCTACGCGAAAAAAAATATTTCAGACATAAAAAAGTTATTTAAATAAAAGCTAAATATTTTTATTATAACAAATAAAGTATTTTTTCGGTTCACTTGAATAGAAAACTTTTCAAATGGATTTTTTTTTTTATAAAAGAAAAATAAATTAAAATATACTATAAAGGATTTCGATAGAGAATTTAACGAATTTTACATTCGATGGTACGTAACATTGTTCTATATAACAAGATTTTAATTTAGTATTGTTTGAAAAGTAAAAAATCAAAGCATCTCGCAAAATTCGATATCCTTTTAGTTCTTTTTCAAGTCATAAAAATAAAACTTTGATTCTCTAATTTCTAAATGGAATTTAAAATTATTTTTTCTCAAATTAAAACGCATGTAATATATTTAAATTTTTTTCTTAAATGTAAAATTTCTTTCATGGAAACGGAAGTTTTTAACTTTCTTAATATTTTAATGTCACGTTTATTGGTAAATATTTATTTTTTTCGTACAAATATTACTAAAAGTTTATTTCCATTTCTTTTGAAATAATCTCATGACATTTAACTAAAAAGAGTATTTGCTTTCAACTGAATTGTATCCATTCACCTGCATCCATTCAATATATAGTATTGAATACACTCCAACCCCTCCTATTTCTATGGCTTTACAAAACCCTTCAGTCCCACACTGTTGTACATTTCAAGAAAATCAGAATCTACATTTCGAGAATAAGTCAGGACAGGATTGTGGTTTTCAGGGTTGTCACCAGTCCGAAATAGTGAATAGCCACTTTACTGTGTAACAATTTATTTAAATAGAATGAGGATGACTTTATTCCACTTTAATCAGAATGTTGATATAATGAAAGAGAAAACAATTGAAATAATTGGATTTCTACATGAAAAGTATTTTGATGAAGAGAGATGATCAAACAATAAGGACTTTGCTTACGTGTATAACTATAATGAATTAAACGACCAAAACAATTCAAATTACTCTAACAATTCTTTGTTAAATATTTATAGACCAAATATTTGGGATAATTGAACAGAAAGCATTTTCATTGTTTCGAAAATATTTCGAAAAGTAAAAAAAAAATGTTCACTTATTAAAGAAAAAAATTTCCTAAAAATTTTTAATTTGAGGTTATGGTTGAACCACCATAATTGGTATTATTTACTATATCCTTTTTAAACCGTATATATTTAAATAAAGCAAATATTGAAATCCTATATTAAATTGTATATATATATGACAAATGACTTACCAGAGTTGTAGAAGCAGAAAATAAGACGTCCAGTCGTCTTCTTCTTCTTCTCCTCATTTTACGGTGTGTTACGTAAATCATATATGAATGACCTCCTCCTGTAATAGAATTAGAAATATTTGTATAATATTACTGATTCTGAAAATTCGTAAAGAAAAATATTATGAAAAGAATTAATTTTATTCTTTAAAATAATTAGGAAAAGTTAAATAAAAACAATTATAATACTTTCTTATATACGATAAGAATGTAAAAAAATTAATAGAAAATAAATTATTGGTACCCAATTAAGCAAATCTTGGATAAATAGAATGGATCAGATAATATTTGAATAATAGTCACTGTGTATTAATCAAACTATATATTATTGGCTATTATGTTCTAATACACGAATATATATATAGAAGAGTAAGTAAGTTAGTTATCTTCTCTCAAATTTCACGTGAGATGTACATCTCACATGTATATACTACACAGTCTGTATATACTATAATTAGTGCGGTCAACCACCCTCCACTATATATTGCCTATTAAAGTGACTGACAGTTGAATACTATACCTATACTATAGTAAATAATGATAAATTTCACTGATCACAAAAATCTTCTTAAGAAATCTTTTAAAACAATGTTTACACGGAAAAACGTACAACTGAACGATATTATGAAATTTTACTTCCAAAACAACATAACGAATTGTTTACGATACGAAAATTGCAAATAATTCATATTTTATACCTGTGTCGTTCTACAGTAGGTGCAAGAGTAATTCCTACAATAAATTGTTTGCACCTACTGATTGTAATTATAATCAAAAAAAAAGTTATGAACCTGTAAAAAATTACAAAAGAATCATATTTTATACCTGTAAAATAAAACTTCTTATTTCTTTTGTCCTTATATTCTTTTCTTCTACTGCAAAAAAGTAGGGGAAGTCCATGATGGAAAAATTAAAAATTGGAAAAATTTTTTTTGAAGTGACGCAGATCCTTCCTTAAAGACGTCCAAGATGGAACTGAGTGCGTGCGGTGGGGAGTGCTAGCTTTTATACTTCGGACTCTGGTGGGGGGTAATTTTAGACGCTGATTGGCTGGCGCTCTAGTTATGAACGTCTACAAATATAGGTTGTTTTTTTTGCAAGTGTTGAGTGAGCAGTTGACTATTGAAGACGTAACATCTGTGCAGCTGAAAAAAATATTTTTAACTTTTATTCGTTGAGCTTTTTTATATTATTTACATAAATATCTCCATCACACTGTCGCCATCTTGCATTCAATATACATTAACGTAGATTATTATATAGGGTGCAAGCTTTCATTGTTTATTAGTAGTAAAAGTCTACACTGGTCAGACAATCAATCTTAAGTAGAATAAACATTTTCTCCTTACACAAAATCTTAACAAAAAAATTAAAAAAAATCCCATATAAAATTTGTTTAAAATTAAATTTCATATTAATTTAATGCAAAACAAAAATTTTATAAACTTTAAAATAATTTAATTTTTTTTTAAACTAATAAAATAATTTTAACTTTTAGTTAATACAAATTTTAAAAAAATCATTATCTTTATTATCAATCATTGGTAAGAATTAAATCATTTGTCGGTAAAACAGAAAGACATAGAGTGTTCCCTTAAAACTCGTAGAATGACGCTTTAGTTCTTAAATGGTGACAAGTAGTTTTCCCAAACGGAAGAAATTAGTGTTAATAGAGAGTTATTATTGCAAATTAAATAGTTTTAATAATTGCTATTGTTTAAGTTTGTTTTTTAAAAAAGACAATGTTATCATGGTTGTATAAAAAAAGAAGAATATCATCTATAAACTCTAAAAACTTCAAAATGGCTTTCTACGCTCAGTAAGTTGAGATGGCATAAAATTTCAAGTTTTTGTGAAACGACAACAAAAATTTAATGAAACATATTTATTTTTTATTTGATAAAATAATATTTTTTTTAAATATATTTTGAAAAATTAATTTTTATTGCAATTATCCAAATCTATTGATATCTATATCTGTTTAATTAAAATATGTATGTATTATACGGAATTGAACAATCAATTTGTATTCGCTGACGTGTCACCGGCTAGGCTAACCAAATTTAATATATAAAACCGGCGTGATATAGATATTGTAGATGTATGGTTTATAATTTATTTTAATAGCAGAGTCCGAGCTCAAATCATTAAATCGTTCCCCAACGAACGCAAAAAATTATCTAATTTTAGAACACGCTTTATAAACACGAGGGTCAATTATATTTTTATACTCTTTGACAAAGTCTGTTAGAATATTGTTGCTAATAGAATGATATTTTTTTATTGCTATTGATAATCACGATAAGTTATCATGATAATTTAACTATATATAAAATGATTTTTATAAACATGAGATTTCAATATAATTTAATAGTATTAGTTTTGTGTTAAAAGATTTTATTTCAATTTAATAATTCATGAAATAATATTTTTCTTTTAGAATTGGAGTTCTCATACTATGCTGTTCTGTACTGGTATCAGCTGTAGATAGAAATAATTTTAAAACTTGTGAACAAAGCAGTTTTTGCAGGTAAATTATTGTATCAAATTTTAAAGTAAAAAAATAAATTATAAATCGTTCTTTCTACTTAATGGAATATTTAATTTTTCAGACGATGTCGAAAAGTTGAACCTGGAAATTCGCCTTATACACTTTTGTCAAATACATTGACGAACGATGAAAATACATTGAGTGCTGATCTTTATAATAATGATACAGATGTTTTGTATATTCTAAAATTAACTGCCCTTCGTGATAATACATTCAGGCTATATGTTAATGAAAAATCACCAGCACATCCTAGGTACGAAGTGGATATTTCTCTTCAGGGAGAACCTCAACTTTCAAAAATTGATGCTGTTGAAAAATCAGAAGAATCCGTAACAGTGAAAAGTGGAATGAATAAAGCAATCATATACTTTAGGCCTTTTAAAATCGATTTATATTCTCAGGATCAACTTGTCATTTCTACAAATGCAAGAGGTTTGATGAGATTTGAACATATCCGAAAAAAACCAGAACCGTGAGCAAAATTTTTTTTTCTAAAATTATTCCATGAACAAAATTTAAAATTGATTAATTTTTGAACTAAGTAAATTAATATTACAGAAAACAGGAACAAATACAAGACGGTGAAGAGGTTGTTGAAGTACCTGAAACTGTAAATGAACAACCTCAACATCCTGGTGATGGTGCTGATAATGATCAAGGAGCATGGGAGGAAAATTTTAAATCTCATCATGATACAAAACCATTAGGACCAGAAGCAATTGCTTTAGATTTCAGTTTTCCAGGAGCTGAACATGTTTATGGAATTCCAGAACACGCAGACTCACTTGCTCTCAAATCGACTAAACAAACTGAACCTTACCGATTATACAATTTGGATGTATTTGAATATGAACTTAATGAGAGAATGGCTCTTTATGGAGCTGTTCCCGTTCTCTACGCACACGGGTTTGTATAAATTTGACAAATTTCTATAATAAAAAAAAGAAAAAGAATTACACATTGAGAATTCTTCTCAAAATTAATTTTAATTATTACAAATTTCAGTAAAGAGAGAACGTCAGGTGTGTTTTGGAATAATGCAGCAGAAACGTGGGTTGATATTTTATCAAGCGCTGATAATAATGTTGTCGAGAGTATCGTTAATCTTGTGACCGGATCTAAAAAATCTCAGGTCGATGCTCACTTTATGTCCGAATCGGGAGTTATTGATGTATTTTTCCTAATGGGTCCAAAGCCTCTCGATACTTTCAGACAATATACTCTTTTAACGGGAACTGCACCTTTACCTCAGGTGAGAAATTGTAAAATTTTAAGAAATTAATAATTATTTCCCCTTAGGACGAATTTTAAGGTCACTAATGTTCTTTTTCAGATTTTTTCACTAGGATATCATCAGTCTCGTTGGAATTACAATGATCAACAAGACGTTCAACAAATAGCGGATAATTTTGATAAATATGACTTGCCAATGGACGTAATGTGGCTCGACATTGAATACACGGATAATAAAAAATATTTCACTTGGGACCAACGAAAATTTCCAAATCCTACTGAAATGATTCAGAATTTAACATCGAAACTAAGAAAACTTGTCGTGATAATTGATCCTCATATAAAACGCGATGAAGGCTATCATGTTCATAATGATGCGACAAGCATGGATCTTTATGTTAAAGACAAAGACGGCAAAGTTTATGAAGGATGGTGTTGGCCGGGATCATCATCATATCTCGACTTTTTCGATCCTAAAGTTCGTGAATACTATATGAATCAATATTCTTTTGATAAATTTCCTGGTACAACTTCCGATGTTTACATTTGGAATGACATGAATGAGCCAAGTGTCTTCAATGGACCGGAGATAACGATGCCAAAGGATATGCGTCATTTCGGTGGCTGGGAACATCGAGATGTTCACAATATCTATGGTATTATGCAAACAGTGGCAACGTATGAGGCACTATTGAGAAGATCAAACCGCTCCTTGAGACCGTTCATTCTTTCGAGATCTCATTTCGCTGGAACACAAAGATACGCGGCTGTTTGGACAGGAGACAATATGGCGGAATGGGGTCATTTGAAAGCAAGTTTTCCAATGTGTTTATCTCTCGCAATTTCTGGAATCTCATTTTGTGGAGCTGATGTCGGTGGATTCTTTAAGAATCCCGATGCTGAACTCTTTGTCAGATGGAATCAAGCCGGTGCTTGGCTTCCATTCTTCAGACAACACTCACATATTGAAACAAAACGTCGTGAGCCATGGACTTTTAACGATGAAGTAACACAAATTGTTCGCGAAGCTTTAAGATTACGTTATTCATATTTACCATATTGGTATACACTATTCCGAGAACATGAAATTAATGGTACTCCTGTTTTGCGACCACTTTGGGCACATTATCCAAATGAGGCCGAGACATTTACAATTGAAGATGAATTATTGGTGGGTGATTCGATTCTCGTGCGACCAGTCTCTGAACCAAGTGTCACTGATGTGAACGTTTATTTACCAGGAGAGGGTAAAATTTCTTGGTATGACATTGATACAATGCAACAACATAGACAAAGTACTATCACAGTTCCTGTGACACTACACAAAATTCCAGTTTATCAAAAGAGTGGATCTATCGTTCCAAGGAAGATGAGGATACGACGTAGCACTGTTGCTATGAAGAATGATCCTTATACATTAATTGTAATTGCTGATAATGCTGGTAAAGCAACTGGAACACTTTATATTGATGATGAAGTTAGTTTTGAATATCGACACGGAAATTATCTCTATTTAAAACTATCTCTCGATGGAAATAATTTAACATCGAAAATGTTGGACAAGAAAGCAAATTATAAAACAAAAAGTTGGTTGGAGAGAATAGATATTGTTAATCCACCTAAAGGAATTAAGTCAGCTCAGCTAACTTCTAAAAGTGAGTATTATTTTCTATTAAATAAATTTTGAAAAATATATCTTTAAAAATAAGTAAACATTTTGAATATTTACATGTAAATTTTGTTTTTATAAATGTTAATAATAATAATAATAATAATAATTGCAGGTATGGGCAAAGTGACATTAGAAACAAAGTACAATCCACACAATAACGTACTGGTAGTGCGTAAACCAGGTGTAAATATGGGAGAAGAATGGACGATTGAATTAATTCATTAACATTATAATTTAACTTCTTTATTTTATTCATTAAGTATCAGTTAATCGAATAAAGCAGCCTACGTGAAATTTCATCCATCTGTGATTCCACACACATATTGCATCAGAATTAATAATAATATCAAGTGATCATTATAAAATAGTGCGAGACTCCAAAACTCTCTCAGGATACTCACAGGCTTTATAGATAAAAAAAGAAAAGAAAAAAAAATATCTGTACGTAATTAAGCGTCGTAGGTTTGAAAATATTTATGTAAATGTGTTTCATCATTAATGTACATTTTTATATACATGCCAAACTCTCATAGTACACGCAATAGTTTAATAATAAAAAATATGTTATGTTTAAAAAGAATTTTTTTTTTCATTTAAATTGTTTATATATATTGTCTTTTTTTTAAAAAAATGTTTTGATTTTTCTCACTTGTGTCATTTAAGCTTTCTAAAAACAAAACAAATCACGAGTGGAATGTACGAGATTAGAAAAAAAAAACCAAAAAAAGGGTTCTGGATAAAATTTAAGTTTGGAAAAATTCATGACTTATCATTCAAATCATGCACGTTCGGTGGGTGCTTGCTTGTGAGCTAAATATAAAAATAGTATGGAAGACAGAGCAGACACTAAAAATATGACATCGAACCATCGATGATAAAAATTGAATTGAAGATCTCCTAATACTTGTGTTATTATAATGCGATATTCGGCTGGCATATTCATTCGCATCAAAAGGACCGAGGATACAAAATACATTCCCTGTAACAAGAATAATTATTATTTTCAAAAAAAATTCATCTAGATTAATTCACACATAAAATAACTTAATCACTTACCATTATTTGAGCAAGAATCAGAACTATAATATTCGATGATTTACTACTTGAGATCGCATAGAAAAACTAAAATGAAAAAACGAATAATCAGATAAAAATATTCATATTCTGAAAAATCCATTATTTTAGTTTTTTTTACCTTTGTTAATGTTAGTAACAATCCTCTGATTGAAGTGACAACAATGCATCCAACGAGATAAAATGAGATATGTTGAGACCAAAAAGTAACGTCAATATTGAAACCAATCCAGTGAACAGCTATTTCCATTCCTCTTGTCACTGGATCTTTTTTACCCACACGATCAAAAACTATATTAATTATCGACTAGAAACAAAATAGTATAAGTTTATCATTTCCTTGAATTTCGGAGTTTAAATAAAATAAATAAACTCCTCAATACTTACAATAAATATTTTCCACATACAATAAATAGAGAAAAAGTAACCTAAAAAATTAAAATATTTCCCCTGCCATGTGGCGGCCCATTCTAATCGTTCTCTTGCATTTTGAATATCGTGTGCTTCCAAAAAAAGTTGACGAGACAATTCTTCAGAGGCAGTGACTTCCTGTCGAAGTTGTTTTATATCTGAAAATTTTAACTTCTATATAATTTTATAAGTACAAATTTTTAAATCAGTTAATTATTATTATAAATTACAATAGTATTTGAAATTATATATTAAATTACTTTCTTGACTTCCTGTTAAGCCGCCTAATGGTAACATTCCCCAAAGTCGAGATCTGCCCTCGGTTTGATCACCAACTTGGCCCTTTTTCGCTAAAGCAATTCTCTTCTTTTTCGCAATTATCATGTCTATTGTTTGCAATAGTCGCCTTTCAATTGCTTGAACATCGGCATATGTTACAGGACGCATAAAGTAAGCCATGGAAGAATACGGATAATTTACAGCACCAAATCCTGATAATAATGCCATTACTGTTACGCCAATAACACCAATGCGACTCACTCCTTGTTCAATGGATAACACTCCTTTCTTTGGACTCAAAATGGGAAAAGGATCTCCAACTTTCCAGAATAAATAAAGATAGAAAAGATAGACCATCATTGTTAACGGACGTATCAAATTTAATCTCACTGTAAATCAAATTTCGATATTAGAAACAATTAATATTTTTTAAATAAAAGTAAACAGTAATTTAATTATATATTTAATTCAAAACTTACCAAAACTAACATTGCTGATAATAAAATACGCAATATAAAATGGTATTAACACGATCACCATAAAAAGAAGCATATATAGTCCGACATTCCAGTGAAAATATCTAGAGCTAAAAATAAAAATAATAAATCAGTTCATTTTAATAATTTTGTGCAAAATATAAAGTTTCCATTAATTTATATTACTTACCTAGAATCTAAAACTCCAACAATTTCAAATATAATTAATTCAAACATTGTACATGATAATGAAAAGGTGGTGGAAAAAATTAATTGCACCAATCTATGGTGAACTTCGTAATCACGAAATAATTTTTTGACAAAGAAAACCCATCCTCCTAGAAAAAATAGAACCTGAAAACAAATTTACTAAAGTTCCGAATGAAAATTAATTGAAATTATAAATATTTAACACCAAATTAATATGTCTCGTAATAAAAATTCAAACAATTAATTATAATACCTTTATTAATAAAAAAAAAAAAAAAAACAATAATCAAATACTTACATGCTCATTAAAATTTCATAAATCACTTATAAAAAAAAAATATACAACATATGCAATAACTATTTTTTATCCACGTAAACAAAAATAATCAAAAATTGTAAAAAAGGTACAATTTTAAAATACGCAAAAAAACTAATCAAATTAATTAGTTCAAAAGAAGTAATATTAAAAATATAAATATGTAATACATGAACAAAAATTTTTCCACGTTTAATTGATAAATTATACATAAAAAATGTAAATAATACAAAAAATAAACATAACCTTTGCTTGAAATTTTAGGTTAGGATCTAATCGGTTTTTTAGGAATAAATATTGAATGTAAAACACTAACCTGTGTTACAAGAATAACAAACGTATCTTCAAAGAAACCCATAATTATTAATTACTATTTTTTTGCTACGTTTAATAAAAATAAATACATTATTTTGTTAATTTTTCAAAATGTTTCACATGACACTTTTCAGTTTTCAACATGGTTTGTTAAAACTGATCAGCTGATTTCGCGCGAGTTCACTGGTTGGTCGGTATGTGGCGGTTTATTTAAAATTGAAATTGTTTGCGCATGCGAACTTATATGGCACGAAATTTTGAAAACTAATTTTTATTGCAGTAAAAATAAATTATTATTATTATTATTATTATTATTATTACACCAAAAAATTAATTTTTTATTCCTTCTAAAAGTATTTTCGCTTCTATCAAATTAAAATTATATAGAATTTGAGGAATTTTCAATATTACACAATATAAACTGTAATTCCAATGAAAGAATAAAGTCAATTACATTTTAATGGAATGTGTTTATCTATAATGCTATTGGCGATAAGTTTGGAAAGTATCGCTACTATAATTATATTGTAAAATAATTTAAAATACTTTTTTCTATTTCTACCAAATAACTTAGGAAATTTTTTTAGTATTTTAAACAACAAAATTCGTGCAGTTAAAAGTATTAAAAAATAAAATATTTTTTTTAAATCATACCTGAAAAATTTGACATCAGATAATATTTGTATAAAGACCTCGATGAACCTCCATATCGAATATAATATACAATCCTGCATTCTTCAAGTGGGAGTGCATCTGAAATGAAAGTAAAGATCAATAAATAAAAATAAAGAAGCAAAATTTTTCTACATATTTAAAAAAATTATTATTTTAATAATAAGTGCATTTTTCCATTTTATATAACAGATCTATAGAATAAAAAAAAAATCAGATTTCCCAAAAAAATTGCCGATACCTGTTTTTTCCAAAACAGGACAATAGTAAATTCTAAATTTTCATCATTTTTGTATACTAGAATCTGTTGGTAACTAAATTTGAAAACCACCCTCGATCTTTTTTAAATCGATCATAAAAGATTATTTCATGCGTGTATATTTATAAGTATACATATATTCAGCCCCCCATCCCATTTCACCCATTTTTCAAAGAAATTCCAGAAGCTTTGAGGGAACCGTTTCGTTTCTTTTCCCTCCATTCGAATCTCTGAAAGCACCTGTTGCCTTCTATACCTGTTTCACTTGTGGTGCCAAGTCCCTCGTTCACGCAAACCTGCGGCCGCGAATGCCACTCCAGTATTGAGGCGCACGTTGTCCCGGCATCAACATTATATCATATACTATACTACGCAGCTCTTATTTTTGTATATATATATATATATAAAAAATTTTATTCTTTATCATTTCTTATTATTTTTTTTTTTCGCGCGCGCGTGACACTATTCATTCTCTTATCCAAAAATTATGGCACGGATAAGAGAAAATACGACAATAATTTGTCATTTGGAATAATAATTTTTAGAGTGATGTGAACTGATCTGTGGCAAAAAAAAAAACCCCCCGAAAATTTCTCTTTTACATATGTGAAGTGCAATGGTGATTATTTCTCGGCAAACGAGCTGAAATTTTCAGTTTATAATCTCTTCGAAAAAAAAAAAAAAGATATGGAAGACAAAAATCAGGATACTTGCTATAGTCCGGGCAGCATCGCAGGAGCTGTAATTGGAACCTTTTTAACGACAATTCTGCTTTTTGCGGTTGCCGCATTATTTTACAGACAGTGGCGCAGACACAAAGGTATTTTATAATTTTTTTTTTTTAATAATTAAAAATATTTACATTCGATGTTTCTTTGCTGCAATGCATTGGCATTTTACCAATATTGATATTTCAAGCAAAGAGCAAATAATAAATAAGAGGAAAAGAATTTAAAATAAATGTCATTTATAGACGTTTCCTAATAGCACTATGAGATAACTTAAATTTTACATTTCAAATTTACAAAGCCTTTTTGTTCCATTGTAAAGAAATTGTATAACATTGTTAAAATTTAAAAATGTTTTCATATTAAAAACAATCATTTTCAACTAAATTAATAGATATTCAACAAATTTGTAAAATCTTAAAAATATAATTCTATATATTGAAAATTAAGTTTTTATGGATCAAAAAGTAAGCTATGGAAAAATGAGGATAATTACATTAAATTAAGACAAAAAATTGCAAATAAAAAAAAGCCGGTTTAATCTTTACATATAGCAAATAATGAATATAAGATGTGTAACGACAATCTTAATCTAACAGTGGTATCACGGTCAAATTTACATATATGCGCAAGTAAGCCCGTTAGATATATAGAAGGACACCTCATATGCAATAATTCACGATATTTCATTTTATTAAAAATATGCATCATAACTTATTGACCAATTAATAATAAATAAACTTTTTTTTTTCTACAAATACTGCGTTATTTTCCTCAATTTTTTATTTCGATAAATATAAGGACATTATGTCACGTTAAAGAATATACCGCTTTTTTTTTGCAAAGTAAAATTAAGTAAATATGTTTAAAATTATTATTGCCATGACGCCAATGGAATGATTAAGATATTTTTCCATGTAAATGAGAGGCGGTTCTAATTATTCAATGCATAGCTCAGAGAAAATGTTCTTCACTATTCACAGAATCATTTTATATTCGCGCATATATATAAAATTCTATAGAGAAAATTCTAATATTTCTTTTTGTTTATTATTAACCTAAATTTATATTAAATAAAATAATTATACAATTGTATTTTCATATATAAAAAATTTTATCATTAATACGATTTAACAATTTAAAATAATTTATAATTATTAATTAATATATTTCTGTTCATTCAAATATATATATAATATTTTTAGTCGTACTATATATTAAATATATTTTATGTAAATTGAAAATTTATAGGAAAGATATTTGAATATATTATTATCATGAGAAAAAAGAGATATCCCGTTAGAATTGTTTATCATAGTGAAATTTACATTCACAAACATTTTTTTCTAATTTTCTTTAGTGCAACTGGACTTATAATGAATAAAATTATACCTAGATATAAAAGATCTTTGTCAAAGAAGAAAAAGATGATCATTCCCATATTATACAATATGAGAAATTTACAGTAATTATGAATAAAAAAAAAAAAAAATATTCAAAACTGGAATTCCTGCTGTTTAAAAGTTAGTCGTGATTTTAAAAAAATGATGGTGTCTAATACAAATATATATACACCAAATATTTATTCTCTCATCTTACCACCATCGTAAAGTATGCTTTACAGTTACCATAATTCTGGTAACCGCAGTGCCACATCCATATTTTTATTGTCATAAAACCGGTATATCTTGAAAGTTATTTTCTTATATATATACATATATATATACCGGCTCTTAGCGGACACAGTGAATAAGAAAAAGATATTTTCCCGCAATACAAATTCCCAAATGCACGCAAATTTAATATTAGAGATATATATTATGTACAATAAGAGAGCGGAAATGATAAGCTAATCCATTTGTCATCAAACTGATTTGCAGAGTCAATATCAATTTGTTGTGCAATATGAAATTCTTCAAAATGTGTTTGTAGAGCAAACATATTTGTCGAATATATATAGTCAAGGACACCTGTGTTTCATAATGATACAGGAAGACAATAAAAAATCAGCCTCTGTAAATCTTGACATTTTTCCGTCAAATGTAAAATTTAAATACTTGGAAATATTATCCCTTATTAGAAATTTTATATTTTTATACATATGTAATTAATCAATTAAAATTAATTTGTAATATTTTTTATTCCCATATAGTCAAATTCCTTTGAACTGTAAATTTTCTTGAAAATCTTTTCTAAAAGATTTTATTTAATCCTTGTTTTACGTAATCATATTGTAATCCTCAAAATAATCTGCAACGACTTCCGGAGAATAAGAATTATTATTATTTTTTTTTTTCTACAAAAAATAATTCTTTCGGCACCATTAGTTTCGTTTGTCTAAAAATGGTATTTTTCCTTGATTAACTTTAAAATAGCATTTTTTTTTCCTTCTTTTTTTTTTTGACAGACACTAATGATAAATTGAAACGCCTATATATTATACAGGGATTTCCTGACCCATACATAATATTCTTTCTCATTTTCCCAGCGTAATTATCGGTTTCTCAAGTTGGAATTTTTATTTTTAATTTACGGATTTGTTTCCCTGTTATAACGAAAATGCATCATCGTGTGCAGACTATCGAGAGCGATCTTTGAAAACCGGTGTTTCCACCAAGAGTGCATCGGCACAACACTGTCATTTATTTTCTTCTCTCTCTCTCTCTCTCTCCCTCTCTCTATATATACATATAGTATACTATAGAACTTGGACCGGTTGTTGTACCTGCATCTTCTCAGAAATTTATCTGGCACGTAGCCGTACCATCTTGTTGGATAATTCTGATGAAAGCTTCTTGTAATTGGTCTGTCACTAGACAACCACAATATCTTTGAAAGAAGGTGGATCAGTATCAGATTCTTCTCATTTAGAGAAAATTATATTTTTATCTCAACTAAAACCACATTTTCGCATTAATACAGAAACTGATTAAATTTATTATTGAACCAAAACTAGTCAAAAAAATAACTTTTTGAAATTTTAAATAATTTTTTTTTAGAATTTAATTTAAAAATTGTTTTGTTGTTGAAATTTTTTCCTAATGAAATTAAATAAGATTTTCTTGAGTATTATTCTTGTAGCTAGTGTAATAAGGTTAATGAAGAATGTAATTAGAGCCCCGCGAGGAATTTTGAAAAGAATGATTCCGTGAGACTGCAGTATAATAATAATTGCTAGACAAATTGTCTCAGAAACCATTATGTATATTATTTTTGGATCCCTCGAAAATAATTAACATGATTAGAAGATAGAAGGTAATTCCACTTTAGACTTTCTGATATAAAATTGTCATTATAATTTTAACACAATTTTAAATTACTTAATGCAGTTAAGTAATATTAATTATTAATAAATAGATATTTAATTATATTTTTAATATATTATGCAATATATTGACATAAAATTATAATTGAAAACTCATATTAAAACATTTTAAATACACTTTACTAATTATAATCAAAATAGGGTCATTGATTAATCACATATGACGCTCATTAAATATATTATATGATAAACTAAATAAATTCTCAGATTTTATTTAACTTTCACTTGACGATAGCAACTACATATTTTTGATAGTAATTCATCTGAAATGACTATTTTAGCATTTGAATTTGAAGTCCCCGTGCGCATATAGTTGCATCATATTGAGAGTCAGTTATCTACAGCATTTTTATGCAAATACTGTCCTGATTTGGCATTATGTCACAGAATTTCTTCTCAAGAAACATACTGTATCTGTTTTGGAAAAAAAAATCTTCTCTTTTTAATGATTGGTTACAAAACACTTAAAACGATACAAGGGTGCAAATAAAAATGATTTACACCTTTTCCGCATATCTCGAACAAAACTATTCAATACTATCTTCAAAAAGTTTATGTTTTATAAGTGGATGTTGCAAAACACCAAAGAGGTGATAAGCCAGACGCAATGGACATTTATGAAAATTCCAATTTAGTGACTGCTTTCCTCTAAATATATGGGTAATTCTCAAACCGGTCATTTTCGAGAGAGAATTTTTTTTTCTAACTAAAATGGGAAACTAATCATTATAGTTATTCGGACAAGTGGTACTGAAATACAGATTCAGTATTTGTGCAAATGCAAATTTAATTTATCTTCTTTTATTAGTTGATTCTATTAGTTTCAATAGTCCATCAAAGATTTGTTCAGTTACAGATGATGGTAGTTTCAATTAGGTCAGATAATGGTACCTCATATATAGAGAACACGGGGTATTATGTAGTTCCTCTATCTTCAATCTATACTACTTCCAATGTACCATTATAATGGCAGCAGTTATAATGGTAGTTCCAATCAGAAATACCTGAAATCATTTATTTCACATGGTATGCTATCAATCGTTCCATTAATAATTATATTATATTTGTCGTAGTTTTAATCAATTTCTTTTACAGTTATTTTAAACTGATATTGCAATTTTTTTCCACAACACCATGAAGAAATATTTCTAAACGCATAATCTTCATAGTTCTCACAAAGTGAAATTGCACACACAAAAAAAAAAACTAAGAGTGTGGCTAAGGCTGTTTTTTTGCCAACAGGGGTTGTTGAAGGAATTCCAGAATTGAAAAACGAACACATTATTTAATACAAGCGGGCAAGACAAAAGTTGAATAAGAAAATTTTACGCGTTTTGCAAAGGGGCGTTTCTGCCAGAAGGCGAGCAGTGAAGCATCAGAAACGCGCATTGAATTCCTGTGGTACCCATCGATGCAATATAACACAACTTCCAAAGGCCCCCTAGTCAAGAAGACTCGTTACACATTTCAATGCGCCTCGAATTCTTGGAGAAAAGAGAGAAGACAATTCTCGTTTGGAGATTTATCTTTTCGTTATCCATTATCTTTCGAATCGCTCTCTTTCTCTCTTTCTCTCTCTCTCTCGAAAAGCGGGTTCCTTCCGGCAAAAGAGATGGGAATAATGATTAACAGAAAGTTGATCAGGTCCAACATGCATATATGATTGCATGGTAGTATATATACCGAGTACGTAAATACCTTTAGTTATGTTTACGTATATGGAGTACTATAAGTATACACTATAAGGTTATATATCTATAAGTATAT